ATTGCCATTATGCAGTAAAACAGCTTTAAGACTCGTCTTCAATGAATCAATGAACAGTCTCCAGTCATCTGGATCGTGAACGATGTTGAGGGCTGCCATCACACCATTGATGTTGTTGCAGGCTACAAGATCACCTTCCATGAAGAAGAATGGGACAAGATCCTTCTGACGGTCACGGAAAATGGAAACCCTAACATCACCTGCCAGGAGATTCCACTGCTGTAGTCTGGAGCCCAACAGCTGTGCCTTACTCTTGGGTAGTTCCAAATCCCTGACAAGGTCATTCAGTTCACCTTGTGTTATGAGGTGTGGTTCAGAGGAGGAGGATGGGAGAAAATGTGGGTCCTGTGACATTGATGGTCCAGGACCAGAAGTTTCATCCTCTTCCTCGTCTGACTCAAGTGAGAGTGATTCTGGTGCATCAGGAACCGGCAGTCCTTCTCCGTGGGGTACTGGGCGTATAGCTGATGGAACGTTTGGATAATGCACAGTCCACTTTTCTTTTTTGACACACCTTTCCCAACTGGAGGCACCATGCAGAAGTAACAATTGCTGGAATGATCTGTTGGCTCTCTCCAAATCATTGGCACTGCAAAAGGCATAGATTTCCTTTTCCTGTTCAACCACTGGCGAAGATTTGTTGCACAAGTGTTGCAGCATATGTGTGGAGCCCACCTCTTGTCCTGATCTCCAATTTTGCAGCCAAAATAAAGGTGATCGGCTTTCTTAACCATAGTGGTTATACTGCGCTTTTGTGATGCAAAAGTCACTTCTCCACAAACATAACTTCTGCTATCTGCACTGTTCACACAAGCACGAGGCATCTCTGCTCACTTTGGCTAAACAGAAAGGTGTCCCTTTGCAAAATCAAACACTGACAAATAAGAGAGCACGACACTGTATGGTTTCTAGAGCTGATATAGGGCAATTTGTTCAGCAGAGTGATGTAAGCTTTGTTATGATTGCATCATCCATGACTTCTAGAAATAACATGATGCAATTCATATCATGTATGACGCAATATCCGCTTCAGATTGCATCATTCATTGTTTTGCCTAAAAAGCAAGTACTGTCCAAACCCGGTCATAGATGTATTTTAGTCATTTCTGGTTTAAATTGAGATCCCTTCCCTTTATAACTCACTTATCCTCCGCTATTCCCAAGTCAAGGGTCGTATATACTGACCCAATAGCATATCTTGAAAACTAGAGCCAATCAACAATTTAAGCATCATTTTCGTTCTCAGTGACCCAGAATTAGTAAAGTTTGACTACATTTATTTCAGAAGCATTTTGGCTGTAGAGCAGTGTAATCCCTCTGTTTTAATTGGTTCTTGATTCAGAATGTTCATCTTGTACAGCAACAGGAATGGCTGCTTCAGCTTCATAGCCTTTTAGATTAAGCCAAAAATTCCTAAATTTACATGAGATGGGGGGAAAAAAATCAAAAGCCAAGAAAATGGGGCTTTTAAGCCCCATAAAGGGCACTTCATTTTAAAATGTTTTTAAATTTATCTCTTTCAGGCACAGTTTGGTTTCTGGTTAAGTTTATGGGAGTTTTGCCAGGATCTCAATAGGAGGACGATTAAATAGGCAATCGCCTATTCCAGGGGTTCTCAAATTTCATTGCACTGTGACCCCCTTCTGACAACAAAAATTATTACACGATCCCAGGAGGGGGACTGAAGCCTGAGCCGACTCAAGTTCTGCTGTGCTGGGGGTCAGCCCCAGGCAGGGGGTCTATAACCTGAGCCCCGCCGCCCAGGGCTAAAGCCCTGAGGCTCGGGCTTCGGCCCCGGGTGGTGCGGCTTGGGCTTCGGCCCTGGACCCCAGCAAGTCTAAGCCAGCCCTGGTGACCCCATTAAGATGGGGTCGTGACCACTGGCTATTCCTTCTCTACTCTTGTCCCTCAATAACTGTCATATTTTTGTTCATAGTATGCCAATAAATTACTCTCCATCTATAAACTGTTGCTCCAGCTATATAGACTATCTATACGCACATATGGCCGAAGCATGATTTGCTTCCAGATTTGTTGACAAAATATAGTTGATTAAAAATGTCAATGTACCAATTGAAAAATATTGCTGACTGCACTCCTGCTGTTACAGGATGATGAGACAGAGCCTGAAGCAACTACAGCTGATACAGCTAATGTGGGTGACTTCTTTTTGGCCGAAGTAGAGGAGGTAAAGCAGCAACCAAATAACATCAGAGCTAGCACCAACAAATTGCAGCAAGATGTGAGACTGAATGAAAAAGCAAGGTATATGTGATCTTTTAAGATAATTTAATTCCATCAAATCTCTTACTAAGTAATATGCAGCTAATATCTCTTACTACAGAGAAAAATTCTATGAAGCTAAACTTCAGCAGCAACAGCGGGAACTTAAACAACTTCAAGAAGAAAGAAGGAAACTGATTGAGATTCAAGAAAAAATCCAAGCATTACAGAAGGCTTGTCCTGACCTTCAAGTAGGTAGAGTATACTTCTTCACAGACTCCAAAGGTATGGTCTGCATTGCAGTAAAACATCCATGACTGGTCCATGTCAGTTGACTTAGGCTCTGGGGCTATTAAAATTGCAGTGTAAATGTTTGGATTTGGGCTGGAGCCTGGTTTCTGAGTCCCTCTCCCCTTCCCGGGTCCCAGAGCTCAGGCTCCAGTCTGAACCTGAATGTTTACACTGCAATTATATAGTCCCATAGCCTGAGCCCTGTGAGCCTAAGTCTGCTGACACGGATCAGCTGTGGGTGTTTTATTGTAGTGTAGACATACACCAAGAATATCAGGCAATGTCGCTCACAGCAGTAGTTTTTCTAGTAGAAAAATTGAAATTCAGAACTTCAAGTTGTTTATGCTCATCATGTTGAATTTTGTTCAATAAAACCACTGTAAGACTCATTCATAGATTATAGATAAGGTTAGAAGGGATCACCTAATCATCTAGTCTGACCTCCTTTATAACACTTGCCATAGAACCTTGCTCAATTATTTCTGTATTAGGCTTGTAGCTTCTATATGAGCTATAGCATATCTTTCTAGAAAGATATCAAGTCTTTATTTAGACTTCAAGGGATGGAGAAATCCTCACATTCCTATGTAATATGTTCCAATGGTTAATTACCCTTACTGTTAAATATTTGCACCTTATTTCTAGTCTGACATTTTGTCTAGCTTCAGCTTCCAACCATTGAATCTCGTTATGCCTTATTTCCGCTATATTAGTGACATCTACTATCAGAATCTCTTCCCTACATATGTACTGGTAGTGTAGACCATGATCATTTCATTTCCTACACTTCTCTTGGATAAACTCAATAGATTGAGTGTCTTAAGTCTCTCTCACTATATAAGGCATGTTTTTCAGACTTCAAATTGTTCTTGTAGCTCCTTTCTGAACTCTTTCAAATTTTTCAGTATTCATTTAGAAGTGGTGACACCAGAACTGGAGATAGTATTTTAGTAATGGTCTCAGTACTGCCATATACAGAGCTAGGTTCTGCCTCCCTGCTCCTATGTGATGGTCTCCTGCTTATAGATGCAAGGATCGCATTTGCCCTTTTAGCTACATAATCTCAGTGGAAATTTATGGCCATTAGCTTATTTACTATGAACTTTAAGTCCTTTTCAGAGCTCCTGCATTCCAGAGTAATGGCTCATCTTGTGACGGCAACTTTATATTTGGCTGCATTAAAACACATGTTCAGATGAGCCCACCTTACCAAACTTTGCAAAGTTTAATTTTTGTCTACTTCATTTTCACTACAATTTTTCCCTAAATCTGGAATTAATCCTTGATGTGAAGGTAACTGGTTCTTTTAAAATGAAAGTTAACAAAATGTTGACCTTTTTTCAAAAATATGTTTCATTCAGGCAATTGAAAATGCTACAGTTACTAAAAGAGCTAAAGGGACCAGCATTTTACCACATTACACAATGTTGGTTTGAGTTTTTAAAATTCATTTGTGATGACAGTTTCTGATTTAGTTGACATTACACATAGCATTGATCATAATGTAAGTTGGCTGCATGCTGGTTAAAGTATAGGAAATGTGGGTTCTGAGACTATTCTTAATAGCATATGTCAACTTTGAGCTGATATCTCAAGAAGTCTAAAATTGAGTTGTGTATGAGTAGTTGGTGGGAGGGGGAAATAGCCGTATCCAATAACGGTAAGAAATAAGTAGACATTGCAGAAAGCAATACTAACCTATGCTATTTTACTCTAGTAACATATATTTTATTTAATTTTAAAGTCTTCTTTTTCTTTCAGTTGTCAGCTAGTTTGGGGAATTGCCCAGCAAATAGACCAGTTTCACCTGCTACTTCAACACCAGCTGTTGAAAGTAGCGCAGCAGGCAAGCCAGTTCTTGAACCTGAAGAATCGGTAACAGTGGACAATGAGGTATTTGACATTTCTGACTTGCTTGTGAGTCAGTTAATCTTTTTTTTTTTGGTTCTTTTTTTTTTAAAATGTGTGTTTGTAGAAAGCAAACAATGAACCTTAATAGCAAGAAGTGTTTGCCACAAGAAATATTTAAGCAAATGTTGCAGAATTTGGCTGTAAAAAGGATTTGAATTTTGAAATTATAACCAGAGGGATTGAATGATCTCAGCAGAAACTGGATTCCAAGAACAACCCATCCAGTCAGGGAGTTCATGTAGAATATGAAGTGAGGCAAGACTCGTCATATTCCTGCCTCCTTCCTTCTAAACCATCGCAGAAAGACGCTTTCACACATGCTTGCATCTTAAAATTAGTTTCCCAGTGATTTGCCTCGTGTACGCAAATGCAGCTCCACTGTTCCATCCTGACCTCTTATAACTGGATAATTTCACCCTGTGTAAACACACAAACTCTGCTTATTTAACATTGGCAGATCATTAGTTTTATCAACTAACTGAAACTTTATGTATGTCTAAAATACTTTTAGAAATCCTTTAATTTCACTGAATCAAAGATTTTCCCCTAAACCATCAAAAGGTAATCTCTTACGTAAGGAGTATTCTTGCAAAATGTATAGTGTTTGCCTTCTAACAGTGTCTGATAAATCTTTTTTATAAAGACAAGATGAGATTGTCATGTTTTTGTTCTCAAATGGCTGAAATTTTTTTTACTGAGGACTTTGAAACAAAAAATGAGAACAGAACAAAGAGTAAAGAGAGAAATGACAGGCGTCTAAAAATTATCCTTTAGAACAAAATGCTTGTACCGCCTTAACTGTAGGTGTCACTGTGAGTTTCAACTATACATTTTCATTTACCAGTTTCGTTTTTCCATTTAATATTTTTCATAACACGATGGTATTGCTTTTGCTGTCCCAGCTATGGGTGACCATTTTGTATGCTCATGCTTTAAACTCATATTTTTAAAAATTATTTGGCTGGGTTTCCAAGATCTTTTGAAAAGTGGGATTTGGCTAAGTTAAACATAAGCATCTTACGAATATATATGTAGTTAAATTTGCCTTTTGATAAACAGTGTGGGTCTCTTTCTACTAAAAAATAAAAAAAGTACTGGTGTAACACTAAGAGCATGTAGTGATGATCATATTTCTAAAACTCCATAAGTAACTTTTGATTTTTAACTTCAAAATATAACCTTTTCTATAAGCAGATTAATATTTTCAAAGATGTTGAAAACTTTGCCTAGAAAGGTCTTCAGCTGTTTCGCAACAAAAGCAGAGTCTGCTTGCCTTTATGCTTTGTATAATATACCACCTTATCTGTCTTCCCTGACATCTTTATCACCTCATTCAAATCTATTCAAAACACTGCTCAAAATTATTCAGAAGTTACCTTTACTGGCTGCTGTAACCATGTTATCTTCCCCTTTGAATTTCTCCACTACCCTGTTTCACTGCATCAGATTCAAGCTTCTTCTTGATTTCAAGGTCCTTCGCAACTTTGCTCCTCCGTACATATCCATTACTTCATCCTACTATCTTCGAATAGATGCAGCCATGTATTCCACATAGGTGTACTTGTGCCCAGTGCACCAAAGCTGGAGAACTTTGCCTAGCAGTACCCAGGAGGACAGCATTTGTACCCTAATGGCCCTAGCCCCTCCTCTGGCTAGATAGAGACAGCTCCACCCTGATCCCCACTCAGTTCCTTTTCACTGCCTGTGGCTTAAGTCGAAGCTTTGTGTGGTATTTTCATCTCATATTTTTGGTCTCCTAATCCAGTGGAAAAACTCTCAGAAAACTAGTAGCATCTCAGGTTTAGTTAAGTGTTAGTATAGTGTTAGTTGAACTAGTTGGCTGCCCTGTGATACCCTCACCGAGGTTCAAGCATTCCCTGTCTTATGTGCGGGTGTGGGTGTGGTTGGGGGGGTGAGCCTCACATGAGGTGCTTGTTGTGGCTGAGGGATATGATAAGAAATGGTGTTCCATTTGTAAGTCATTCAAAAAGAGGACTGAGGTGGCGAGAGACTTTTGGGTGAAGCAGCATCTTCTGGAACAGGCCAAGAGGCTCACTTCAGCACTGAGACCCTCGTCTGCTCGGCAGTTGCCATCGGAACCAGCAAGTCGTGCTGCTTCACGTTTGGACTCAGTGTTTCCTCCAAGAGGAAGAGGAGTTGCTCTCACTCCTTCAGTGAGGTGAGGAAGATGTCCCATAAGACTAACTGTGGAATACTCCAAGGTTCTGGGAGACTTTCTCGTCTTCTAAGAGGAGTGTTGACCAGCACCGTATTCCTTCTGGCACATGCAATGGAGCAGGTCCATCTAACCTCTCCTTGGTACTATGCCGAGATCAGCAAGAGCCAATATCATCAACTCTGGTTCTGGCCATGGGGCATCCAGTGAGTGTGGTACCGATGATGTCTGCACCAGTGCTGACTGTCTCCATGTTGGAGGCATATCAGGTGACATCAGACCTGCTTTCCCTCTCAGTCCATGACTCTCCACTAGTTCAGGAGTTTGAAGGTGCTGTAGCTTCTGTGCTTCATCTTCCATTATGCCCTTGGCACATTCTGGCTGGGTCGTAGAGCTGCTGGGTTCATCAGCACCGCAGCTCAGGCTGCCCAGGTCCCAGACTGTGGAACTGAGGCCAGTGCTGTGCCTGGCACCAAAGGCCCCCACAATGCTGATGGCCCCTTTGGCCTTGTTCCTTGGCCTTGGTGCTGGCGCCTCTTCCGGTACCAGGTGGGAGAGTGTCTAGCTTGGTGCAGATTCCCCATTCTTTTTTGGCATTGATGCTGTTTCTATGTTTCTTCAGATGAGTCTGGTCATTTGTTTGTTCTGTTGTGCCTGGTTCCATTGTCACAGAGAATCTATGCGACTCCTCGAGATGCAGGTTCGGGTCGTCCTCCCCTTTGTCATTGCCTGATAGGCGCCAGAGACTGTCCTTGGATCACCATCAGTACTGAAGTTGGCATCATTTCTGCAGTTAAGAGGGGGCTCTTGGCCCAGTGCCTACTGATCACCAATGTCATATCCATTTCTCCAGTGGCCTCCTTCAAATCCTTGGGACTCTCATCGGTCTTTCAGGTCCCATTCTTCAACCTGCTGCAAAACTAGATCATTGATCCCGTGGGTGGCTTCCATTCCCGAACCAGCTACAGGCGAGACTGAGCCCATCCCTCTGGGCCTCCAGTCCCAACTGGGGTGTGTGTCAAGAAAGGACCTGTCATTGGTGCTTTCTTCTTCATCTCTGGACAGCTCTGCCATGCCAGGCTCTTGAAGGCATATCCGGACCACTTTAGGTGTATGGCTGCTACATTAGGCATCCAGGCTTAATTTATGCAGGAGAATAAGCATAAGCTGCTGGATATTCTCCAATCAGCTCCAGGGAGAATAGCCAACCTGATAAATGAGGCTGTCTTGGAGCCAGGAAAGAGACTCTGGAATACTCCCACTTCATAGCCTCTCATGACAAAGTATGCAGAGAAATGTTGGGTTTTGAAGGTTTCTGCTCCCACCCAGCCCCTAACTCTGTTGTGGTAACCACAGTAAATGACAGTGAAGATATAAATCTGTACTAAAGACAGAGTCTAGGAGGGGATGGACTTCATGGGGAGGAAGATTTATACCTCCTCTTCCTGGCAGATGTGCATTGCGAACCAGCAGGCATTGCTCTCTGAACATGACTGGCTTTTCCTCCCCTGGGATCCAGCAAGTGCCCATTTTGACTTGTATGTCCCAAGCAGCAGTCCTTCTTTGTTCTCTCAGGGAAAAGGCTGGCTCTTTTTTTTTTTTTTTTTTTAAGTGTTTGGGATTCAGTTACCCAGGGTTGTGCCATACAGTTCCTCCTCCATCCCTCTTCAGGGACCCCTCTCACAAGACATAACTCCTGGAGCAGGTTCAGTCTCTACTGGCTCTGGGGGCTGTGGTGAAGGTTTCACTGCAACATTGGGGACAGGGATTCTACTCCCTTGAGGGATGAGTCATGTCCTCTGAGACTTCAACAAATACGTCAGATACATGGGATTTCATCTGGTCACCTTAGCAACTATCCTCCCCGTGTTAAATTGCAACTGGTTTGCTGGACCTTCAGGATGCTTATTTCCATGTAGCAGTGCTCCCAAGCCACAGGGGATTTCTATTGTTTGTCATGGCGAACGAGCACTGTCAGTATACCATGCTTCCTTTTGGTCTGTCTTCCACTCCCGTCTGGCATATTAACAAGTGCATGATTGTAATGACAGCATACCTCAGGAAGAGAACTCGTATCTTCTTGTATCTGGATGATTAGTTACTGAGTAGCAAGTCCCGAGAAAAAGTCCTCTCTCATGTTCAGTTCATTCTACACTTACTTGATCATCTAAGTCTCATCCTTAACAGCGGGAAGTCAACACTGGTTCCAACTCAAAGAATCGAGTTCATTGGGGCCCTATTAGACTCTGAGTTCAAGAGTGTTACTACTGACTGACCGATTCCAGGCGATTTGCCACCTATCTCTGGAGCTGCAGGGAACTCAACCCTCAACAGTAGTCTGCGTATGCCTGAGGTTGCTAGGCCATGTGGCTGCATGCAAAAAAGTAATCCAATATGCCAGGTTGCACCTTCATCCTCTTCAAACGTGGCTAAAGTTGGTTTGTCATCTGAATCCTTGGATGGACCAGTCCAACTTCCTCTGCCGATCCTGGAGTCCTTATGGTGGTGAGTTGCTCAGGGCAATGTGTGCCAGGGCATTTCCTTTGCTAAGTCCCCACCGATGCCTCCTTAGTAGGTTGGGGAGTGCATCTGGGGTTGCTGAAAGGCCTGTGATCAGAATAGGAAACTTTTCTCTGCATATCAGTGTCCTGGAGCTTTGTACGATCTGCAGTGCCAATCAGGCCCTTCAAGATCACATCGGGGACTCGGCGATGCACATCCTTACTGACAATACCACTGTGAAGTATTACGTGAACAGAAAGGAGGGAGCATGCTCCAACCTGCTATGTCAGGAGGTCATCAAGCTCTTGCAGTTTTGCATTGGAGAAAACATTACCCTGTTACTGATCATTTACCTGGGTTCTAGAAGCACCTGGTGGATCACCTCAGCAGAAATTTCTCCCTGAATCATGAGTGGTTTCTGAAGCCCAGTGTTCAGCAATCCATCTTTATGGTTTGGGGCATCTCGACAATCATCTCTTTTGCTCTCAAGGGGGTCTCAGTCCAGGCTCCGTGACCAATTCTTTTCCCTGAGCTGGGAATCTGCACTCCTGTATGCTTTTCTTCCAATTTTCAAGCTGAAATTGGATCATGCCAACCTCATTCTCATTGCTCCACTGTGGCCAAGACAATGTTAGCTCTCCGACCTCCTCGTTAGCCTGGGGAATTCAACCGAAAATGGCTTGTATCCAGGACATCTGGGCGTACCTGCTTACACCTTCAGTCTTCTGGTCTTGCACTTAATTTGTTGAGAGTGCACCTGGTAGTGATTTCTGCGTTTCATTGACCTATCCATGGAAAATCAGTGTGTTTGAACTCCATGGAAGCGAGCTCCTTGAAAGGAGTCACTTGTCTCCATCCACTGGTTAAAGAACTAGTCCCCTTTGTGTGACCTTGATGCTGTCTTAGCAGCTCTTATGAGACCGCCATTCAAGCCCCTGGCAACTTCTTCTTTCTCCCTTCTGTGTCAGAAAACTGCTTCCCTTGTGACAAAAAACATCTGGAAGGAGTGTGTGAGAGTGCAGACTTTTGATGACAGAGCCTCCTTACATACAATTTTCCAAAGACAAAGTAACTTTGCAGCTGCATTCTAAGTTTTTATCTAAATTTGGTTTCTCCGTTTCTTTCAAACCAAGTTACATATCTACCAGGTTTCTTCCCTAAGCTGCATTCAACCCAATGAGCAGCATTTTCACATATTGTATGTCAAGCGATTGTTTAGCTTTTTATCTGGATAGGACTAAACCTTTCCATTCTTCATCTCATCTGTTTGTTTCATATGCGGACCAAATGAAGAAGCAAACGATCTCTCTTCACAAGTGATTTCCAGGTGGATAACTTTCTGTATCCTGACAGCATACAAAGTAGCTCAGACTGTGCCCCCTCAACGGGTGCAAGCTCTTTCCATGAGGACCCAGGCAACCTCGGTGGCATTTCTAAGCAACGTTCAGATATTGGAGAAAGAAGGTGGGTGAGGTAATATCTTTTATTAGACCAACTTCTGTTGGGGAGAAAGACGAGCCTACACAGAGTTTCTCTCTCACCCACAGAAATTGGTCCAATAATAGATATTACCTCACCCACTGTGTCTCTCTAATGTCCTGGGACTGACATATACCTATATTTGACATTTGCAGGGTTGCCACTTGGTCCTCTGTATATTGGTGATGCAGATGTGTATTCCACAACCCACCCTCCTTCCCTTCTGGATTGGTGTTTGTACTCTGGACATTTTGTGTGAAGGAACTGAGAGGAGTGGGGACCTGTCCTTGTATTACCAGGGGAGAGGCTAGGGCCACAGCTTCTTGCAGAAACATCTGTCCCTTCATTCATGCTTCCTATGCTCATGAAAAAACGAAGAGTCCTTGTGGCACCGTAGAGACTAACAAATTTATTTGGGCATAAGCTTTCATGGGCTAAAACCCACTTCATCGGATGCATAGAGTGGAAAATACAGAGGCAGGTATAAATACACAGCACATGAAAAGATAGGAGTTACCCCCCACTTGGTAAGGCAAGTGCTAACGAGCCAATTCAGTTAAGGTGGAAGTGTGCTATTCTCAACCTGCTTTCTGATCTGTAAGAAATCAGCTAGTTAATGATAGTTAGCTTGAGTGATAAATGGAGATTATACACTATCATTGCTCTTATAGAGTATTAATATAAACAATTTGATTGGATTCTTCTCTCCCCACTTTCTTATGTTAATTATCTTTTCAGATTTTAAGGTGTTCAGGACAAAGACTATTTTCTATGAGTTTTTGCAGCCCTTTGCACAATGTGGCCCCAGTCCTCATCACCTTTTAATATTACAGGAGAACCATTATTTTATTAGCCTCACTTTTATTGACATAACACAAATGCTGAAACTTAGATCATAGGTGTGTCAGGTTGTAATTTAGGATTTTTTCTTCATTTTGCTTGTTCTGCTATATAGTCACATCAAATTAATTTTGAAAATGTTTAGCTTTGCCTAATTTGTTAGTTTAATGGTTTTGAATATAGTTAAATTTGTAAAATGAAACAGAAGGATTAAACTATTTTATTTCAAATAGCTATGGTCTGAGATGCGTAGGCATGAGATTTTAAGGGAAGAGTTACGACAGAGAAGAAAGCAGCTTGAAGCTTTAATGGCTGAACATCAGAGGAGAAGAGATCTGGCAGAAACCACATCTACTGTTGCTGCATCTGTTAAAAGTGATGGATCAGAGACCCAATGTACTCCACAGCAAAGTAGGATGGAAAAGTAAGAGCATGACTCACACCCCTCCTGCTTTATATGGTCTTACCTTTGGAGTCTGGAATCATTTACTGTATATTAAACATTTGTTGTGAACAAAGTCACAGAGGTACTCAATTTAAAAATAAATTAGTAAGAGACTGTTTTTATTGTCAGGTTTCAGAGTAGCAGCCGTGTTAGTCTGTATCCGCAAAAAGAACAGGAGTACTTGTGGCACTTTAGAGACTAACAAATTTATTAGAGCATAAGCTTGAAGTGGGCTGTAGTCCACGAAAGCTTATGCTCTAATAAATTTGTTAGTCTCTAAGGTGCCACAAGTACTCCTGTTTTTATTGTGTTTACTTTGAACAAAATTCCACATCCAGTGTTTAGGAGAAAAAGTAGTAAATTATATTTTCTTAGTTTTAAAGGCATACTGGAAATTTATATCTAGTCACTTTCAAAACATTACCTAAAAGTTTTCTGAGGTACCCACTTGCCTATGAGCTTTTCCCATTTTGTTGGGGGGTTGATGATATATTTTTCAAAATGCTTTTTCTCTTTTTCCCCATTACTGGGGGAAAACCCATATAAACAAGGAAAAAGGGCTATATGAAAAATGCCGTCAAATGCTTAAAATACTAGGTTGGCCTTCAATAGCTCAACTGGCAGGACTCTTATCTTGTTTGGAAAGATATCCTTAAGTTGTTGGTTTGATTCCAGCTTGAAAGAATAGCTTCTTTTCAAGTGTTAAATCAACACTGGGTGTTTTTCTAAAAGATATGCTATAATTCAAACAAGAGTTAACTCAGGGAAGTCTTATGGTCTCTGTAATACATGTAGATGATCACAATGGTCCCTTCTGGCCATTTCAATTTGTTTGGATTCTTAGATAAGCCTCTCTAATGTTAGGTGTTAACAATGTAAGTTACAAAGTTCAAACACAATTAGTTCTTTTTAAATTAGTTGACAGTCTCTGCATTGGTAAGAGGTTTGCGAAGTTCATTTTGATGCAACTTGTAGATATAATTGGCATATAAAATTTGTAAATTTACTATTATTAGTATTCTGATTGTAGCTGTTATCCTTTGTTAATGGCAGATTGACTGTATCTTTTAATGTCTAATGTTCACTAGAACAGTGGCAACATGGGGAGGTTCTACCCAGTGTGCGCTAGATGAAGAGGATGGAGATGGAGATGGTTATCTTTCTGATGGACTTGTTCAGGCAGAAGAGGAGGAGGAAGAGGAAGAACAAGAGTCCAGTTCTAATGACAATTTCTCCATGTATCCCCATAACAATGATCAAAGTACATATTGTGTTAAAGAAAATAAAGATAGGTTAGTTGCTTTATTTAATATTGGTCTGATATTAGGGTAAGTTTTATAAAATGGTATTGCACTTTTTCTACAGACAGAGCTGATAAAATTCTACACAGCAATAGTGGAAGAAGACAGAGGTTTTCACTGAGCTGTCAAGTGCGGCATTTAACCAAATCTTTTTTTGTCAAGAGGTTATAACTAGGTTCTAAACTAGCTATATGCAGTGTGAGTAGTTCAAATTATTCCTTCCAACTTGCATAATCAACAGTGGATTTCATCTGCTATCAAGCTGATGTTCCTTAGTCTCTACTAGTCTTGACGAATCTAAATAATTTGATCTGGTCTGCAAATTTTGCCACCTCCATTGTTCAACACGTTTTTCATTAAACATCAGTTTTAGCATGGAACATTTGGGGGCACCTGACAGTTAACTTCTGCCATGTTGAAAATTAACCATTTATTTCTGATTAATTTTTTTTGATTGGTTGTCTCTTAGCCAGTTTCTAATCCATGGCAGTACCTTGTCTTGCTACATGACTAATTAGTTTCCTTCATAGTCTCTTGCTAAGGGACTTTTTCAAAGGCTTTTTGAACGTCAAAATAAATCATATCACCCAGCTTGCCTTCCTCTGTTTTGTTGACCTATTCAAAGAATTCTAATAGATTAGAGCAAGGGTTGGCAACCTTTGGCACATGGCCCATCTGAGTAATCTGAAGGCGGGCCACGAGACGTTTTGTTTACGTTAATCATTCGCAGGCATGGCCCCCTGCAGCTCCCAGTGGCCGCGGTTTACCTTTACCGGCCAATGGGAGCTGCGGGAAGTGGTGGCCAGCATGTCCCTGCGGCCCGCCGCTTCCTGCAGCTCCCATTGGCCGGAAACGGCGAACCACGCCACTGGGAGCTGCAAGTGCACCGTGCCTGCGAATGGTCAATGTAAACAAAATGTCTCGTGGCCCATCAGCGGATTACAATGACGGGCCGTGTGCTGAAGGTTGCTGACCCCTGGATTAGAGGAATGATTTCCCTTTACAGAAGCTGTGCCCTATCATAGCATGTTTGTGTAGATATTTTATGGTTCTGTTTTTAATTATAACTTCTACTAATTTTCCTGGTACTTAAGAAAGCTTTATAGGTCTATAATTCCCAAGATCATCTTTATCAACTTTTTTTAAAGATAGATATAACATTAGTTACTCTGTAGCCCCATGGGGTAGTAGCTGATCTTAGTGATGGAAACACTCCACTGGTTGGCCATTTGTTCAAACCCATTTGTGGAGGGTGGTATATTAATAGTTGTCATATACAGTTGCATCTTTAGTACAGACTGGGGCTTTATCCCATACTCTTGCTGAGCACACTTGTTCAGTTTTGCATGATTTTACAATGCCACCAATATGACCCCAGCAAATATTCTATTTGGCTCCCATGCTGTCCTACAATGAATAAGCTATAAAAGCATGTGAGTGTATATATAGAAATTAGAAGGATAAATTCTTTACTCACAAGGTAGGCTTGCCATATGAGATGTAAGAAAAGAAGAGCTGCAACAGAAGATACTGAATTCCTAGATGTCAATCTCAATCTCAAAACATCAGCCAGTTCTCCAACTCATACTGAATTTAAGTTAGTTTTTTTTGTTTTGTTTTGTGCCAATGGGTAAGTTTCTTGGGAATAAGAAACTGAAATTGCTCTTGCCAAAAAGTGTTGGTGGTATTAATTAATTGTTAATAATTTACCTAGAACGGAAACATTGACTGAAACTATGGACTCTTTGCAAATTTCAACTTTCTTCTCTTACAAAGTTAGTTTGACTTTCAAGAAATCTGACACTCCCTTTTCCCCAGATGGAAGAATCGCCGCCCTCTTTCAGCAGATGGGAATTACCGTCCATTGGCTAAGACAAGACAACAACAGAATATTAGCATGCGGCGGCAAGAAAACCTTAAGTGGATGTCTGAACTCTCTTATGTGGAGGAGAAGGAACAATGGCAAGAGCAGATTAACCAGTTAAAGAAACAGCTTGAATTTAGTGTCCGTATTTGTCAGACCTTGATGCAGGATCAGCAGGTAAATGTCAAAAGCACTTATTCTGGTATCTTATTACTCTATATGGCATATATTGTAGTGGTGGTGTTCTTTCCTCTAAATCTTTCAGGAATAATTCATCTCTGATTTCAAAAGTTTTGGTGACCAGCATTTCCTTCTTTCCACAGACCCTCTCTTGTCTACTACAGACTCTGCTTACGGGCCCTTATAGTGTGATGCCCAGTAATGTTGCATCTCCACAAGTGCACCTTATAATGCACCAGTTAAACCAATGCTATTCTCAGCTGACATGGCAACAGAATAATGTTCAAAGGTATGCTATTTATCCTGTATTTGTGAAAGACTTTTGCTAATACTTGTATTGAAATTATTCAGAAGTAACGAAAAGCTTAGTTCACTGATAAATATTTTAAATAAATCAAACTGATGCCTCGTCTGAATGTAAAAGTTAGGTTGACATAACTACGCACTCAGTAGTAGAAAAATTCACAACCCTGAGCGCCATAGCTATGCCAACCTAATCCTCCGTGTGTATGCAGCTACGTCGACAGATGAATGTGTCCGTTGAGCTAGCTACCGTCACTTTGGGAGGTGAAGTTCCTACAATGAATGAAAAAACCCTTCCATTTCTGTAGGAAGCATTTATATTGTACTTCTTTCCTTTGGTGTTATGAGCCTTTCCTGAACCAAAGTATTCAGTTGCTCCTGACCAAATATTTCTGCATTCAGCAGAGCTCCCTAAATCACTTCTGTAGCCACATCCTTCATTGCAATGTTTTTTAGTGTGTTGGCTGTTTCACTAGTGAATAATTTGAATCTTTGAAGTGTCATGGACATATAATCAACATGATCATATTGCTTTTGTGTTGGTGTGAATTCCTGGCAAGTAATTTGATCATCTAGTCCAAGACGTAATAATTTTCTGGTTTGGGTTGCACTTTGGGCATGTAGATTATAGGAGAGAGCCCATCTGCTGAGTCCTGAGGCCCTTCTTGTGATACCTGTAATTCCTCCTCCTCCTCTTTTAACAGTGGCAGTCACTCTTTGGAGTGGTCCGGATCTACCTGACTGAATCTGTGGTTGGAAACTTTCATAACCCAGTTGTCTCTATGGAGCTTTTCAAGTACCTCCAGAGGGAGCTGGTTCATTTCTGCTAAGTACACGAATCCCCATTGAGCATAATTTGTGTGGTTGTATTAGTGAAAAAAATAGAAGCCTTCTTTTGAAGGCACATATAGATGGAGGTCCCAAATTTCATTCTGATGAAGAGTAGAAGGATACACACCATATCCATGTACGTAAAATTGTGATGTTGTCTGTACAGTTCAGTGCAAATGCCACCTGGTCACGGAAACTTGCTGATGACTGAATGGGCACTAAGTTGTTGTAATCTTCCGCAGCATCAAATTTTTCCAAATCCAGGAACTTTTCTTTGAGTTTCTTGTCATGTGGCTGTAGATAGCTCAGAAGTTGTCATAATAGCAGTTCCCCACATTGCCTATAGTGAGCTTATAACCATGAGTGGCTTTTTGCATAATTTTTACCAGTTCTGTTGTTTGTCTACCTAATATTTCACTTTCTGTCCACACTCTTAACAATTCAGAATCCTGTGTATGCTGCCCCAGCAATCTTAGGAAGTTCATTGATAGGTGTAGACCTCCTAAGCATAGTATCAGGATATCTTTATATTCTTGTACAGTCCATTTTAGCTCCATCAGCACAAGGAAGAGTGCTTGATCAACAAACATCAACATGTTTCTGTTGATGATCTGTGACTTGTGCAAGTCTTTTCATGACAAGATTCAATGTATCAGCTTCATGAGCTGGTTGACTGAAAGATAGGCATCTAGCTGTATGTAGTTTAATGGAGAATTGCTGTTACTGTGCTTTTCATTAAAATGTATCCAGTCTGATTTTGGATTTTCAAATTGATGTTTGAGGGGAAATAATATATCTTGTGCTTGTGCTTTCAAAGCTGACTGGCAATCTTTTATGTATTCACTAAATCATTCTGCTAGGACATCTTCATTGGATTTTGGTTCTGCTGTGATATTAGCAGGAAAAATGGTGTATTGCATCTGGAACATTTAAAGTAGCATGATTTATTGGCTTGGTGTCCTGCAGTATCAGATCTGATGCGGGTTGCCTCTGCCAGGCTGCATACTGTGTGGTATGTAATGTGTTTTGCCCATCAAGTGTGTGCTTATTTTATCAATGTTATCTGCAGTGATATGGGTAAATCTTCTTTTAACCAAGTTTTTGATGGGATCACTGTTTCATCCTCATTCATTGACATTAGAGTGCTCTTGGCCAGTGCTGTGTCAACTCAAAGTACATCCTTGCAGCTAATGCAATGCCCAGTGTTGTGAAACATCTGGACAAGATTTTTTGTTCTTGTTGCCTGATGAAGTATACTTCCAAGGCTAACATGTTTGGGTGTCCACTTCTTACCTCCACTTACACTGTAGATGAAATGTGCAATATTTAATGGCCTGGACTGTTCATGTGATTCCTGTTTCTCATCTTCACATTCTTCTGCAATGTTCTCTTCTGTGTCCTCCCTCCTTATCATCACCACCACCACCACCTTCTTCAGCTTCCCCTAACTCAAGAGTAGACTGGCCAGCCAAGTTGAGTTGCAAAAACATTTATATGCTGTTTGGGACACAGGCTAGTGCCTCTTCCTCACTGGTGTTTAACCCATCGCATCCAGGATGAGCAAGTATATCTAAGCGTAATTTCAGTGCTACATGTACCATTGAGAGAGATTCATTTTCCAGCTCAGTCTTGAAAAATGGAATGGTTGATACATTTTCTTCTGCTTTACTGAGGGATGTGACAAAATTTGACAAGCACAAATAGTGTTTGTCTCTTAGAAGCGGATTGATCACCTAAGACAATGAATTTGTAAATACCATCAATAGTAGAATTTTTTTCTGTGAAGGTTGCTATACAACATATAAATGAATGTCGGACCTCTTCAACAACTTCATTTGAGAGAAAACAGTAAAAAGTCCATGCCTGTGAAAGTTCCAGAACACATCGTTTTGGGGCACAATGTTTTAACTCCATTACTAAGCGAGACCATTGTCAAGTCAGGACCACTCTGAGTCATGCTTAGTTTTTGTTACTTTTCTCGAGAAATGCTTATAGCAGTTAAGGTGATATTTCCCTTCTGAGGCTATAAGGTCACTTAACACCATTTACACGTACATTGAACTAGTGTTCATACTCTTCTGCCTTAACTATATGTTTGTTTATTTTGAATGTTATGGAACTTCAATCCTGGCAGAAAATGCAAAGACTCCAGTTCACTCTGGGGGGACCTTGCTCTGAAACACTGTTGAGGTTTTGGTGATTGGGTTTGCAGTTCACCCTTTACTGGTAGCTTCAATGGATTTATGAAGTCTGCTAATTTTAGAATCATAGAATCGAATCATAGAATATCAGGGTTGGAAGGGACCTCAGGAGGTCATCTAGTCCAACCCCCTGCTCAAAGCAGGACCAATCCCCAGACAGATTTTTTCCCCAGATCCCTAAGTGGCCCCCTCAAGGATTGAACTCACAACCCTGGGTTTAGCAGGCCAATGCTCAAACCACTGAGCTATCTTCCCCCCCCCTTAATCTGTGCATGTTGCATAACAGTTTATATGCCAAAGTAATGATTACCTGCGTTCAGATTGAAGAGTTGTTTAGAATTTTATCAATTGCATCCCTATTCTGGAAATCTGAGTTTCTGTCTTGCATTGGTTGCCTCCTGTATTGTAGCCAATCTGTTAGCTAGAAGCAAAATTTCCTTTTTCACTTGTTGGCAAATAATGTATTTTTCCTAAGATACTGTTGAGAAATGTGTCAGGTTCAGGACTGCCTCCATGTTTTCTCTAAGGAATACATGACCATAATAATGCAATTAATTGTCACATGAACGTTGAACAAATAACAAATAAATATTTACCAGTATATCACTTATGCCATGGCATTGTTATCCAAATCAGTACTAAGAACTCTCACACTGTAAGCAAAAGTCAGCATTAGTTAGGTTACTGGTTAGGGGCTTGATAATTAGCTAACAATAATTTTATATTTTTGAAAGAGAATTTACGGAAATAATTTATCATACTGTGTTGTGCATGATACTTTGTGTAATGGATAGCAATGCATTTAATTCCTTAACATATCAAAAATACCTGAAAAGTAGTTAGTTTACTTAATCTTAAATGTCCTTACTGCAGAACCAACAAAATTGAAGTGCATATCATCATGTGACTAGAGGAAGCAGAGAGTATAATCTTCTACAGAGATCACTCCCTGTATTTTCTGATAGTATGGTATTCCAAATTAGGAACATATTCAATATTTAGTATCTCTCCTTTACTTTATTTTAAGTTTCAAATGGTAGCCATTTTCTCTCTTGTATTTTACTTACCTTCAAGTTCAAAACTCGGCTTAGTAACAATTTTCAAATTCAGTACATTGAAATTATGAAAGAAAACAGGTTTAGCAAATTTTCCCTGAAAATGCTTTGTTTCATTAATATCAGCTTATGTGGGAATTTGGCCTACTCTATACCCATGGTTGTCTGTTAATAGGTAGATGCAAATCTATATGATTTCCATGTTGCTTTAGTTGTTAGGCTTCCTGTATATGGACTGTGTAATTCATTCAAAATTGCTGTATTGTGGGGGGAAAAGCCAGTTTGTTATGGTCTTTTTGAAATTACATGTATTTGAAATAAATGAAACTTTGTACTATGTATCATTTTTGTAACATACCTTTCTCTTCAGAAGAAACTTTTCTGTATTTCATAGGTTGAAGCAGATGTTAAATGATCTTATGTACCAACAAGAACAGCAGCAGCAGCAGAATCCACAAAGAAAGGAAAGAGGCAGCAGTGCGCCACCACCTCCATCTCCTACAGTATTTTGTCCTTTCAGTTTTCCTCCTCAACCTATGAATCTATTTAACATACCTGGATTTACTAATTTTTCTTCTTTTGCACCAGGTAGGTATTTCTGGAAATGTAAAGAGAAAGAAATGACTAAATGCAAAGTTTTGGTGTACAAGTTATATAAATCTTTTGCTTTGTTAGACTTTGGTAAATGGGTTCTCATGGTTAAAATAGTATTTTTACTGTTTTCCCTCTACAAACCAATTAACCTCAGCTGCTGGAGGCCTGCTTTACCTTCTTTTCTCCATATGTTTCTCAGATCATATTGCCTAATGAAATGGTCCGAACAACTTGTAAGTGAGCCCAGGCTATCCAAACAGATGGGCATCAACATCTGATGCCAAGAGATGGCGTACATATTTTGATCTCCATGTGGAGGGCATGGCTTCTAGCTGGCATTGGGGGGAAAAAAGTGAATTTAGTGCTGGTGAAACATGCCAGATTACAGCAGTGATGTTTGAAATCCTCCTATGTATAGGTCAGGTATAGGATGCGGAATGTTAAAAGAAGTTTCTACACAAGCTCCAGCCATTGTGCAGTAACACTCTTCTGAAGAAGGGCTGCCTTTGTGGGGAGAGTGAACATGTTCATTACTTGACTGCTCTAATGAGACTGCCAATGCTTGTTTTGGATTGAGACTGCCACCAAACAGACATTATATGTTACTAAGCAGTTACACCAGTACAAACCCTTAGTGTAGACAGGCAAAGTTGCTACTTGCACTGGCAGAACTTATCCCTGCTTGAAATCTGGGTAAAAAGCTACACTGTGCAAATGGCAGATTTCCCTGGGTAAACTATGGGTTGCACTTGTGCATCTACAGTGATTGCTGCTCAGAGATGGTTGAAATTGGGACAAATTAAGACAAGGCCTCAGTATCACAACAGTTTAAAATCAACTACTGTGGTTTTTCTTGTTTGTTTGTTTTTTCGTTTTTTTTGGTATGTGAAAACCATAGGGGAAGGAACATTTTAAAAATATTTACTAGAACATTGCATGAATGATAAAACTAACGTGTGGTGTCACATTTTTCCCCCCCATGTGGTATGTCTTCTGATTAGCTTTAATTTACCCTCACAGGTATGAACTTCAACCCTATGTTTCCCTCTGGTTTTGGAGATTTCGCGCACAATGTTACCCCACACAACAGTGAGCAGCCGCAGCAGCAACCCCTAGATCATAACACTTCTGGAAAAACTGAATACATGGCATTTCCAAAGCCCTTTGAAAGCAGTTCCTCTATTGGAGCAGAGAAACAAAGGTATTTTAACTATTTATGGTGGAATTCTCCTTAAATCATTCTTTACTTGTAATTTGGTTTTGGGACCCATCAGTGTATTGGAGCTTCTACTTGGAAGGTAAAGAATTGAATTAAAGGGTGAACAATCCTCATTGTAATTTGCTCTTCTCTACCTATGTTATGACTATCTTCTGTTGACAGAAAAGTGTGTTCTTAATTTACAATTTTTGGTGTGTGTGAAAGATACCCTGGGTATAGTTAGGCACAGTGTTTGCTGAATGCTATTACAGGTTTTATATTTTGAAAAAATATACCCAAGTTTTATAAATATTGAAAGATATGTATTTTAATGAGTAGATGAGATATGTTCTGTTGCCATACAGTCACATAATGTTGTGCTAGAGGACATCCTGCAGAGGGGGATATATTATTCCCATTAATCACTGCTTCTTGGAGCATCTAGTCCTGAAACTCACAAGAGGAGAGGCAATTCTTAATTTAGTCCTAAGTGGCGCACAGGAGCTGGTCCATGAGCTGAACCACTTGGCAGTAGCAACCATAATGTAATTAAACTTAGCAACCTTGTAGGGGGAAAATACCAAAGAAACCCATCACAGTAACATTTAACTTCATAAAGAGGAACTAAACAAAAATGAGGAAAGTAGTTAAATGGCAATTAAAAGGAACAATCCCAAGAGTGAAATGTCTGCAAGCTGAATGGAAACTTTTTAAAAACAATGGAGGCTCAAACTACATCTATATCCCAAATTAAAAAAAAAAAAAAAAGGAGGAGGTAACGGGACCATGGCTAAACAACAGAACATAAAAGGCCATTAGAGACAAAAAGACTTCTTTTAAAAATTGGAAGTCAAATCCTACTGAGGAAAATAGAAAGGAACATGAATCTGAGCTGCACTTAATACTTTAAATTGTCAGGGGATGTTGTGAAAGCCAAAAGTATAAATGGGTTCAGAAAAGAATTGGATAAATTCATGGAGGATACATCTATCAATAGCTATTAGCCAAGATGGGCAGGGACGCAATCCCATGCTTTGGGTGGCCCTAAACCTTGGACTGCTAGAAACTAGGACTGGACAGTGGGATAGATCACTAGATAAATTGTCCAATTCTGTTTATGCCCTCTGAAGCATGTGGCACCGGCAACTGCCAGAAAACAGGATACTGAGCTAGATGGACAATCTGTCTGCCAGTACGGCCATCTTTATGTTCTTCAGAACAATATGTTGTTGCACTGATTTTTTTTTTTAAAAAGACACCATATGATTATACAACCATAAATCTGAAATATATATCTCTGCATGATAGTCAGTGGGTAATGTGAATTTCTTCTAATGCCTGTAACTCTCTTCCATTTTTTTAAATGTTGCTAATTCTGCAGCAGCACCTTACAGTTGTTGGCTATTGGGTAACTGTATAGGTATTCCTCAAATCATGGATGAACCTATAATTTATTTGTCTGATAGCATTCACAGTTTCTTCCCCAACGAGCTTTGTTGTAATATGTATTTTATAACTTTTCTTTCTCATAAGGAGTCAGAGACAACCTGAAGAGGAAATGGAAAACAGAGCAGTTTGGCTAGATGACAGCCAGGAAAGAAGAAAAGAAAAACAGTCATTCCTGAAGGCAGGGTTTGCGGTTTCAGTACAAAATACGGCATCTGGTAATCATAAAAGTCAGTCTGATACCAGCCGGAGGAGAAGAGAATTTGATGAGGAATCTTTGGAGAGTTTTAGTAGTATGCCTGATCCAGTGGATCCAACTACTGTGACTAAAACATTTAAATCTAGAAAAGCATCAGCCCAGGCCAGCTTGGCATCTAAAGATAAAACACCTAAATCGAAGAATAAGAGGAGGAGTTCTACTCAGTTAAAAAGCAGAGTTAAAAATAGTGGTAAGTTTTCAGTTAACCTTAAGGGCACTGAGACAAACTCCATTTTAATCATGTAACTTAAATGCTGCTTCGTCTGTACTCTGGAGTGTAGATAGTATCATAATTAACATTATAGTTTTGGGAATGGAAGTTAATTCCACACAGGATGTGGAGATGGTAAGTGACGGAGCAAAAGTTTTATTTTTGTCATCTTAAACGTGTCAGAAATGCTAATGGCTTGAACATGGTGCTTTTAGTGGGAAAGGTATGAAACCCAACAAGATGGGAGTGAGTTCTGCAGTGTTTAATATTGATAAAATTGTTTTTTAAGAGAAAACCAAATTTAAATTGCAGTTTGTTTAAACAGTGTAACGTAGTACAAAATTGTTTGCTAATGTACATACGCTCATGTAAAATACGTTGGTGTTGACCTGGGTGCTTGCAATCTGCCAACATGCTTCTGCATCAGACTTAATTATTAGCCAACAAACTTTCTGTGGTGAATTGCATCTTGCACACTATTCGTTGTTAATACTTCACCACTGCTCTCTGCTCTATAACAATCTCTAATTCATGTTTGACACCGTCAATGCTAATTACATAGACATCTCAACCTCCCATTATTATAAAAATAATTTAAGTTCTGCATAGTTTAAAGTAACAAAAGAGTGGTTAACAAGTCTTTGGATTGCATTTTTGAGCTATCATTAAAACTGACTAGAAACAGGTGATTTAAAGATTTTTATTAAAGAGACACTTTTTTTTTCATTTAAGGTTATGAAAGTGCCAGCATTTCTAGTACATGTGAACCTTGCAAGAGTAATAGGAGCAGGCGCTCTGTGCACAATGAAGAGGCTGTTCAAGCAAAAGTGTTCAGCAAAAAGAATCAAGAACAATTGGAAAAAATAATTAAATATAGTAGATCTACAGAAATGTCCTCAGGTATTCTTTTAATTAATCTGAACAATATTAAAAACTTCTTCTGTAAAAATGTATTGATCCTGTAACTCCTTATTAACTGTTAAGGGTATTTTACCAGTCTTCCTGTGAGCTATTAAAGGGTTTTTCAGGTAAGGGACAGTCATTTCATGACTTCATTAATTAACTGCTGTCACTATTAAAGTCCTTGCTAAATGTATATATAGGATACACATGTAATATTTTAGTCCTTACATCATATTTTTAATCTTCAAAACTGCTCTACAAATATTGTGATAAAGCAGAAAGTGTTTTGAAGTAGACTAAATATTACATTTAACATAATTTTGAAACTCAACTGTAATCTTACTATAAACACTCTGGGGAAAAATACAAGTACACATTAATGTTATTTTATGGGAGGTGCTGGTTGTGCTAAATAAACAGTCATGGTAAAAAACACCAGTTAGAATTTCAGATGATGAATTCCACCTGCACTTAATATTTTAAATTACATACTGTACTGCATGTTCTTTGTCTTTCCATTCATGTTCAAATTTAAAGGGACTCTTTCAGGATTAAAAAAAGTAAATCTTTACTTAACAGTCATATCTTTAAAAATCTGCATTTACATGTCACTGTTTACACGGCTTGCTTTTTTCAGTTCCTGCAACCTGTATCGTGAACATACTGTACATAGTATCACTTTTAGATTCTTACATGTTGGCTCAATGCTGCAGTGTTTGGGTGGAAACACTGCTTCCCAAAAGATGTCTAATGCCAAAATTAGTTAAAATAGTATATTTTACTTAATTCCATAGAGCATATTGGTTACTAGGTTTTGTAGAGGAGAAAAAGAAATTCATCAAAACAAACACCTTAAGCTGTCCCTGTAAGGGTCCCCCTTTCCCCCCATTTCCTTTCTGACCTTTATGAAACTTAAGAATTGTGATTTTGATCTATTGCTTCTTTACTACAATTAATCAGACTTTGTCCTTCTCTTCCATGTAGTTTATCCCTGGTCTCAATATCCAAAGGTTTATGGGCAAATTACGCACTTGAAATTGCATGTGTGGTTCCAGTCGGATCTTTGCATATATGATAGGGCAGTATATGGGCTTTAGTGTTTATCACATTTGTAAACTGATTCTTGGTTTTAGGTTAAATATTTTGAATATCTTTGGTGTTTGTCATTTAATGTTGACCAGATTAGATTGTATTTCTTTTTCTAGTTAGGATAATTAGTTTTAGTTGCTTAAAACAAAACACACAACTTCCTAAACAAACAAACCCGCTCCTCCTGTCTCCCCTCCATTAGTTCTGCAGATTCAGTTTAGTGTCATTTTAATGAGTCTTCCTCCCACTGATTCATATAGACCATCTTTATTTCTAGTACACATTTTGGTGTTTATCACTGTCTGTCCCCGCTTTCCTACAGCACATGCTAGGAGAATACTGCAGCAGTCTAACAGAAATGCATGCATTGAAGCCCCAGGTAATGCATTAATTGCTTAGCTTCAAAACTGTTCACAGCTACTTACTTTTCTTTCTTAGCTTTTGTTCTAGAACTAAACTGTGTTTCTCAATAGCTCTTTTATTGAATTAGCATTATGTATACTAATTTATATTGTTGCGAGTATTTTATTTAAAAAAACAAAACAACCCCCACTCCTACCCCAGGAAAACAAGAACCTTGTGTTTTGCTGAATATTCAATAACACAGCTACTTTAGTCCACGAAAGCTTATGCTCTAATAAATTTGTTAGTCTCTAAGGTGCCACGAGTACTCCTGTTCTTTTTACAGCTACTTTGAATCATAATTTGTTTGTACTTCATATTTTTCCTATTTAAAGTACAATGTGATTAATTGCATTAACAACTGCTTTTGATACAAAATATACATGTAGAACATAGTAAAATTAATTACAAGGGGCATTCTTGTGCCCTTAATTATTAACCTGCAACTTTGGTAGAATTGATTGGATTCAGTCTACCACTGAAAAGCAAAGTACATTTAACTATGCCAGTAAATGTTGAAAAGCGACCATTCTATTTTAGTCTTTTAAAAAATAAAACTGCATTTAAGCACACTTGTAAGACTGCTGAACTAACATCAGTTAGTAGATTTAATACATTTGTCTGCATTCTTGAATAATTTGGTAAACTTTTTTATAAACCACAAACATTCAACTGTGTTTTAATTAAAGAAGAAAAACAACAGAACTATACCACATAGTACGTCTGTTACTTTAAAATGGCAGGGAATGGCCCTTTTATTAGGATCAGTAAGCTTACTGAGTTTTCCAAGAACTATGCTTCCTTCTACCCCTTTTTTTAAATAAATAAATAAATAGTTAACTGTTTCATGTAAGTAAAGTTAATAGAACTTACAGTACTACTACTGGGGAAATTCTGCACTCCTATATGCATACGGAAACACGTCCCCCCCCCCCAAAGATTCTCTTTGCTTCACACAGAAAAATGGTTTCTGTGGGGAAGCAAAGATAAGTTATACGAGTGCTCACTCACCCTTCCTGGCAGCGCAGGTGCGTCTATTCTGGCAGCCGTGGGAGAGGTAAATCACCATGGGGGTGTGTGTCGGGGTTGGGGATGCCCTGGCTGACCAAGGATGTTAGTCCTGGGTGGGGGTGGGAGGGTGGCAGGAGGAGGACGGAGAAGGAGTTCCACCTCCCCTGCATGGAGCAGCCAAGGCTGGGTCAGATAAACCTCCAGAACCCTCACCTGCTGCAGGAAGCTCTGCACTCTGGGGGAGTTCCAGGTGTTGGGGGTGAGACTCGGGTGGGTGCGGAGGGGTCCAGATGCATGGGGGAGCAGATCCTCATACAGTGACCCCTCACCCCTTTTTCTGGCCCTATCGCTACTCAGCCACAGGGTAGGGAAGAGGTCACAGTATGGGGAAATGCTCCCCGCCTACCCAACCCCTATGCATCTGGACCTCCCCCCCGCCAAGTCTCACAGTCCCCCACCAAACTTCATCCCCTGTATTGGGAGCCCCTGCACCCAGAACCCCCTCACCCAGATCCCCTCCCCCAGCATCCATCCCCCTGAGTCTCCCCCCTTATATTGGGAGCTCCCCACACCTGGACTCCCCAACCAGCTGCACCCTGGTCCCACTCCCCCAGCATTCAGCTGAACCCCCCACACCCAGACCCTCACACCGCTAAGCCCTACCCACCTTCACCTGAACTCCCCTCCAGCGTCCCATTCCCCCTGCACCCAGAAACCCTACCCAGACTGCGCTACACAGAACCCTGGTACTCTTGAGGGAATTCTGCACCAAAGTGTTAAAATTCTGCAAAGTTCTGCATACTTTATTTGTCAAAATTACACAGTAGCACAATAACTACCAAAATAATTGAGAATGGTGCAATTTATAATTTATTTCAAAATGCTTGTCAGCAAATAATTGAAAATGGTGCGATTATATTGTGTTATTTTGACAAATAAAATATGCAGAATTTTAAAATGTGCACAAAATTTTTAATTTTTTTGGTGCAGAATTCCCTCAGGAGTACAGTACTTTATTTTCAAAGGAATGGAGACCATTTTTAACCTTGCATACGTCTCAAAATGTTGAACAAACATTAATAAGAGGTGTGAGTCTAAAATCTGAGGAGTAAATTCACCTCTGCAAAAAGCTCAATTTGTGTGTTTCTCACACACTCTCTCACATTCACACACACATATATCCCCCAGTCCTGCTTACATGAAGCTGGGATGAAATTTACTCCTATTGTAGTATTACTGGAATGTCAGCCTTTGCCCCCTGGCATTTGTGGGCCCCTGAATTCCTGTAAGCATGTGTTCACTGGGCTAGGCCCGTCTGCTCTAGCCTGTTCATAGTTTGGAGGGCGATTCTTTTTCCATGCACAGCCATTGCATTCTCCCTCCCCATGTACAGCATATCAATAGGATTTAAGTGTTGCAGAAGGTTTTGTTGGGACTTCGGCAGTTTGGTGAATATCGCCTTTAGAATGCAGAAATTGGCACCAGACCAGATTTTTTGTTTGTTTGTTTGTTCCTTGTTTCTTTTAAAGAGGATATCTTATGTATAAGGCTAGATTTTTCAAAAGTAAGCTTGTGATTTTGGGTGCCAAGCTTGAAATACCTTAAAGAGGCCTGTTTTTTAAAAAGTGGTCTACCTATGCTCAAAACCTGTGTCCATATATATGTGTGTGTGCATAATGTACTCAGTTATATACCACACCTTTAAAGTTATCATTCAGAAACTTAAAGACAAAAAGCTAGTCCTGATTTCTAAAACATGGGAGTGTATGGTATAATTTAATTATTATGTTATACATAAATGTTTACATGAAGGCAAATGACCTAAAATAGTGGTTTTTGACCTATGGTCTGCGGACCCGTGGGGGTCTGCAGACTCTTAAGATTTTCAAAGGGGTCCATATCTCCATTTAAATTTTTTTAGGAGTATGCAAATGAAAAAAGGTTGAAAACCACTTGTCTAAAATATAATTTTATTATGTTTTAAATTTTTGTAGCCTTCAGGAAATAGTGAGCTTTAAGAAACAGTAAACGTGTTTAAAATGTAAACTGAATCCAAGATAAGGTTTTCAAATATAATTGAGGTATATGTCAATAGAGAGAGAACTATCAAGAATTTCATGAGCATAGATTGGCTCCTTTGTTCCTCTACAGAAACTGGTAGCGATCTTTCCATGTTCGAAGCTTTGCGAGACACCATTTATTCTGAAGTAGCTACTCTGATATCTCAAAATGAATCTCGTCCACATTTTCTTATTGAACTTTTCCATGAGCTTCAGCTGCTAAATACAGACTACTTGAGGCAAAGAGCATTGTATGCATTACAGGTATACAAAACATTTTAATTACATTATGAATTGGATAAACTTCCTTCACAATATAGATTTAAGATTCATTATATTTTCTAGGATATAGTGACTAGACATATTTCTGAGAACAATGAAAAAGGAGAATGCACAAAGTCTTTGAATTCAGCTACATGGATAGCTTCAAACTCTGAACTTACTCCCAGTGAAAGTCTTGCTACAACTGATGATGTAAGTTTATTTTATCGAGAAACTAGTTTAATATGAAATTCATTTAATCATCTTTCAGTTTCTGTGCAGTTTGTTATGCTGCAATCACCATAGTGACTTGTTTTCCAAAATCCACACTAGCTTATAAGCAGTTGCTTTCTTGTAAGAAGAAACTTGCTAAAGGATATCTTAACATGGGAATTATGTAGAATCTTGTTTCATTTAATATAGAAAACGAGTGTAAAAGCTGGTATGAATGGTAAAGAAGACTCCGTGTCCTGCAGTTAATGTAAAGAGCCCAGATTACTTCATATCTGAGACTGAGATTCTACCAGGAACTTGCAGCAATTCTTGTCAATCCTTCAGCTGTCAAAACTGCTTCAGGAGTGGGAGGATGAGAAAGGGGGTGACAGCACTTCCCAATAGAATCCCAAAGACTTAAAATTTTCTGTAGTTTAAGAAATCACAAACACCAATGCCTTATTCAATTACATTACCTATATATAGATGCAAAACAGATCATTATAGAAGCACCCTAAGGATTTACCTCCTTCATAAGTTAGGTCATTCCCAGTATGGACGTCTGGGAACACATTTTGTAACCTTAGGGACAGGGTGAAGAGAGAATCAGTGGCTTGCTGGGATAGTTGAGGAAGCATGGCATATGCTTGCTATGTGTAAATTTGTTTGTATGTTTTTTTAGGAAACCTTTGAGAAGAACTTTGACACAGGAGCAAGTAGAGATTGTGAACAAAATGATGCGGACAATGGCAGTACCATGTCGACATCTTCAAATTTTGAACCTTTTGCCACTGATGATCTTGGTAAACATTACATTAATTGTCAGTATTATACAATATATGTGAAACATTAAATATTTTTGACTAACTCTGAAATATATACCTCCTGTATCCTAAGTAATTATGTCTCTTGAACTTAGACATAATCTTACAATGTGCCTAACTGTAATAAAAGTATTTGCATATGCATACCTTAATGTAGATTTAAAAAAACTTATAAAAAGTATTTTTGCTCTAAACATAGGCAACACCGTGATTCACTTAGATCAGGCATTGGCTAGGATGAGGGAATATGAGCGTATGAAAACTGAAGCTGAAAGTACCCTTGATTCAGAGGGCTGCTGTAGTAATCTCCAGAGTGCCTCTGCTGTTAAATTAGAAGGTATGTGCATATATATGTATTTTTATTTTGTGTTTGAAAGCAGTATCTGTAGATAATATCAGGAACTATTCACCGGACAATTCATTTCCATCTTAATTGTACTTTATTGTCATTTTAGTTTAATTGCTTAGAATTTCTGCCATAACTAAACATGCAGTTTTAACTTAAAAATACAGTGTACTTTTTGAAACTGATGCTTATTAAATAGAGACATCTTATGGTTTGAATGCACTTTATTTTACAAGATCCATCTACTGGGGAGAGTCACTGTGTGCCACAGCCTAGTGAAGTTTCTACTGTTCCATGTCCTCGTATAGATACTCAGCAGCTTGATCGGCAGATTAAAGCAATTATGAAAGAGGTCATCCCTTTTCTGAAGGTAAGAGATTTTTATTTCTGAACTTTTGTTCATCAAGAAAATTATCACACAACGTAGTTGTACAAAACAAATTATGAAGCAGCAGTAGCTTCTCTATATGTATGGTTTAAACTAGGTTTCCAATTTAAAACAAATTTTGGACCCCATCTACTCTAAAATGAACCTTTTCAAGTTGAAGTGTAAATGCAGAAATGATTAACTTCCAAGCAATCTTACTCTGATGCTGTCACCACTGTAATCTGTACACAACGTAAATTACTTAGATTTGTGACAATAATTCCTACTGGCTGACATTTTAAACCCTCTATAGCCTGAGGTTTGCCTATGAATTCAAAGAGGCTTACAACTGTAGATATCTTTTAACAATGCCCTCCAGCATATATAGGGTTTTAAATGTTCACAGCTACGGAGTATCTGAAGATCATAAAATGGTTGTAAAATTTCTGGTGGCTGGTGTGAAGTAACTATATTGGAAAGGTGGAATAGGGCTAGGTTGGGCGTAGATTTTATATAAATAAGGTCTTTGCTATAATTCCTTCTGTGTGGGGCCCTTAAGGTTATGACATGGGTTAAAAACACAACCTGGTTGTGCCATGTGAATAGAATAGAACTGAACCATGCTTCAACAGTGTTCCCAGAACATGTTACCGCTCTGGAAAAATGTCTGTCTGTAAATGTCAGCTTTAAGATATGGTATAGTGACCACTTTAAGTAGTGATAATTTTCTTTGTCCCCTGGGATTTGCTAGGAACACATGGATGAAATATGCTCTTCTCAGCTATTGACATCAGTAAGACGTATGGTCCTGACTCTTACACAGCAAAATGATGAAAGCAAAGAATTTGTGAAATTTTTTCATAAGCAACTTGGTGGCATACTGCAGGTCAGTAACTTCTCTTCATAAATTTTTGTTTTGGGCTATATTGCAAATTTGATAACTTGCAGCAGATGCACAATCTCTAGCCTAAACATTCCTTAAATCTGTATTATAGTGATCTTGATTTTCAATAGTGCTGAGCAATTTTCAGCTCCTACAGATTTCTGAAAATCAGGTCATAAATTTCCAATCTAGCATAATTTGAGTTACACAAACCCTTGTCTCTCTTCTCCCTTCTTCTTTGACACATTAATAAAATAATACATTGTTTGCTCACATAAATATCACCTCTTCTCATATCTCCCTCCCAATTGGTCTCTCAGGATGGGACAGTAGTACAAGTCTGGCAACACGAATACAGATTTGAAACCTATGAGCCAACTGCCAGCATAATTGATATTAACGTAACTTTTTTGGCATTTGGTCAGAAAGTCAAGTATTTGATCAAAATTAAACCACCCTTTTATTAGTGCCCACATACCACAGTGATTGCATTTGTTGACAGTACTGAGAGAGATCCATATATGGTTCTTGAGCAATGTCAGCAGACAAGTTTGCTTTGGCCTGTTACTTGCATGGATACAAAGAACAGTCAAGTTCTGGGAATCCTGATACCTTCCACAACAAGCAGCAACTACATTATAAAATATGAACAAATATTTAAAATAAAATACTTGTGGAGAAATACATCTGCTGAGTTTGCCTTTAAAGGTAACCATAATGATGGTTTTGTGGGCACGCACTTGTACAATACTGAAACTAGAAATTTACTTCATGTGGACCACTGGAAAGTCAAGTGATCATGACTTTTGACTGCCATAGGCTTGGGGCCAATTCAGATCCTTGACCTGATAACAAGGAGCTCCATGTTACATCATGGTGGATTCCATTTAAACAGGATATGGTTTAAACAAGCTACCTAAACAATCTGTTTCTAACTAGCTTCGCTCTGTTTGTAATATGCTAGGTTTCTGATCTTCAGAGGTCTATAAGGAAAAGCTATTTAGTCTTCATTTCAGTTTTAAGATCATGACTCAAACTGAAGAACTTTTTTTTTTTTTCTCTTTTGACAGGATTCACTAGCAAAATTTGCTGGTAGAAAACTAAAAGATTGTGGAGAGGATCTTCTTGTGGAGATCTCTGAAGTTTTATTTAATGAACTAGCCTTCTTTAAACTCATGAAAGATTTGGACAGCAACAGTATTACTGTAAAACAAAGATGCAAAAGTAAAATGGAAGCAGCGGGAGTGATACAACCTTATGATAAAGAGGTTAACTGCTTAAGCTTTTTCTTTTAAGCATGTAATTTTTCTGATTTCAGTTAATATGTGCATGTTTAACTTAAAATTATTTTAAAAACTTTTCCTAGAAAAAAGAACATATTACTTCTGAAAGCTTATTTCTATTAATATGACATCACAGTAATAAAATGATTGTATATAGGCACATCAGTTACAGTGGCCTAGTGCATGGAAGATGTCAGAGATAATGCTCTTCCTGTCACATTTTTCTGTTTTTCTTCATAAGCAAAAAAACATAAGATCCAACCTTATAAATATGCACAAGTGAGTTTACTCAGGTCAATTAATCTCATTAACTTTAATGGGACATTCGTGTCAGTAAATAGTTGTAGAATTGGGCTCATGAGAACACCACCTCTCTTGCCCTGCACCTTCTGCCCTTCCATCCACTACTTCAGTGAGACTAAAGTTTTGCAGAAAGACTACTTATGCTGCTATGTCAGTGAGCAATCTGGCAAAGTTTCAGTTTTGGCAGGGTTTCTTGGATGTATGACAAACTTCAATAAGGAATGTAAATAAAATGTTAACCTCTTATTAAAAAGAAACACGCAAGTTGAAAGTGGACAAATTCAGTTTGGAAATAAGTGTACATTTTTAACAGTAAAGGTAAACAACTATTGGAACAACGCCAAAGGTTGTGATGGATTCTCCATCATGGGCAATTTTTAAATCAAGTTTGGATCTTTTTTCCTAAAAGATCTGCTCTAGTGCAAACAGGAATTATTTTGTGGAAATTCTTACACAGGAGGTCAGACTAGATGAAAACAATGGTCCCTTCTGGCCTTGGAATTGATAAATAAGAATGTAATAAAAATTCTCCTCCTGTAATGCTAATAAGAGTTTCCTTGGTACCATCTATATCAACAGGATGTATCATGAGAACTTTTAGTTCTGGACTGTGGGATCACATGGTGGCACATCATCAGGGTTCATAATGAACTTACTATAGAAAAACTAAATGAGAACAAAAATACTTTGTATAAGCTAAATGAATACTACCCCACCATAGCATTAAGCAACTACCTAATTACTTCCTTTTATATACTGTAATTATTCCCTTTTTGTATTTTAATGGAAGCCCTAGTAGCTTTCTTTGGAAGTCTCAAATAAAAAAAATGAAGCTCAACTAATTTCATTTTAATGTGAATAGAAACATCTGTGAAATTGGGATAGTACAAGAGTCATAAAAATTCATTTAAAAAATATAACTGAACGGTAAGATACCTGGCAAAGCATTTCTGAATGAGTATTATAACTCCCAGATAGTGATGACACGTATTTAAAGATGTTTCCCTTCAAAAACTACAGCAAAGGCTTGAGAAATACTTGCTAGAGTATTTTATTGCCATTTTCGAGTTTGAATTTATAATAGTAGGCATGGTATATAAACATAATTCTAAGTAATGGTATGACACTAAGTCAATTTTTTCCAGTATTTCAAAGCCATTTCTGATTTAAATGTGGATTTATAGGCTAAATTTTGTAATATGGATTTTTCAATTCAGAATTGAAGATAATTTAATTGGTTGTCTTCTAGGCAAAGAGAGTTCTTGAGGTAGGAGTTAGTTCATCTGCTGAAGATATTGATGAAGACAAAGTAGGTTATACTTATTTTTTAAAACTGTAGCTGTCTTTACTCCTTTTTGTAAGAGAATTTCCCAAGTCATTAGTTATCACTTTCAGTGCATTTTTAGTAATGATTTGAACAAAAGTGATCATACAAACCCAGTGTCTCTACACAATCCATTTCACTCTGATTCTTGGAAAGCAAATGTTTCAAAATTTAATTTTGATTGAAAATATCATTTAATACCCTCTTCTGTCTCCTCGAACTGTTACCAACTCTTTACTTTAGTTGTCTCTGAAACACAATGTGTACTGTAACCTATTGTTTAAAGTGCAGCTTTCTGAAAAATTATTTATGTAGACGAAAGTGAACTTCCTTAATCAGTAGATTCCCTTCTGCATGTATTCAATAATGGCAGTATACTTTAGTGACCAAGATCTACTCATTTTCATTGTTAGCACAGCAGAGCCAGCACAGCTTACAGACACTGAGTTTGATTCTGTTTCTTATACATTAAATTATTGTCGCAGAGCCAGATTCTGCCCTCAGTTATCTTTGTGCATCCTCATTAAAGATATTCACAGTTGTGAAAGCTCTTTGAACACAAACGTTACATTAGGTTTAACTAAAAACATAATGAGACCTGCAGGATCTCTGTTAATGGTGTTGCAGGTGTGAAAGAGCAAGATTGACTTTGAGACCCCAGTAATAGTTTGCAGGGCTGGCAATTTAAAACTAACAAAAATAGCAGCTTATAAACTTAGCAGAATTGATGTAGAAATAGACAAAATAAACATGGAATTCCTCAATATCTTTTTTAGTATCTCTCTTCAGAGTAGCATCACATCATTATTCCTTTTCAGTACTTGTTCTCAAAAACTGCCTCTGTCAGCCTCATTGTGATATGTATGCTCTGTGCTGTGAATGCAGAATCATCTTGAAAAGCAGAGCAAAGTGACCACTTTGCAGATCCAAACAAAGAGGTTATAAAGAGGACTTGTGGCTCCAGCCACTTTCAGCTTCTTCTTGATGATGGCTAGCTGTGAGCATAGGAACCTTTTTCTGCACCCTTCATGATTAGCATAGTTTTTGTGTGGATTATTTGACTAATCACCATTGTATGATGTTCAACTCCTACTTCTTTTGACTCCAAGTGAACACCCAGCTCTGTTAGCTACCTTCTTTCCTTCTCTCTTACTCAGGGTTGTCGTCTTGGTAGGCTCTATGGCAGATCTCTGCAAACAAGCAAGATTGAACTGTGCTTGGTGTGTCACTCATTTGATGATAAAGAGTCACATACCTGGTCTATCTGTGCCTTCCACATGAATATTCTTTGAGGTTGCTTTGTGTGCACAGGGTTTACTACTTGCAGGTGGAGGATAGTGAACAATGTGCACTATCTTACTGTAGGAGCCTGAAGACTAGACCCATGGAATCCTTTGGTTCCTGGTCTAAGTATCCACCTCCTTTTGCATGAAAGAAGTCTTCGAAACTTCTAAATGTCCTGGTGTCTATTCTGAGGTCTCCTTGAGATCTGAAGTCGCCTGGTTCCCATCAAGCCTCCATAAAGTAGTCTAAGGCCACTGAGTATGTGTTGGATTTGATTTGTCTTTTCAAAAACATCTGGGCATACAGGCCGAGTTTATGCTTTTATAGCCATTCTTTTTCCCAGTTCTTTTTCTGTCTTTAAGAAAGAAAAGGCACACTCCTGAGGACTCTTATCTAAGCAATTGTGAATGGTTTTTTCTATGAGAAAAAACAAGGGTGGTATTGTTCTGAGGAGGGAGGACCCTGTGGGTGAGAGACTCAGATCCAAAGACAACCTATATGAAGTTGCCTTTATACATTAGTGTCTAGGATCAGATTCTTCCGGCCTTTCATGATATTTCCGTGGCTTTCAAAGTGGATTTGATTTTTACATACAGTCTTATTATTGTATGGGAGGGGCTATCAAAGAAAAAAATATGGCAGCGGTATCAGCCAGAGAGCTGAACATATTTCAAAATAATTAGGTGGCCACAATCAGTACTTTAGAGGCCCTGTTTGTGCTGCTCCCTTTGCACTATTCAGATGGAGCAAAGGGAGTGAAAACCACCTGCTGGGAATTCTCCCAGCAGCGGAGGTCCTCCAAAAAACCTAGAGCCTGATATAACTAGCTCCTGAGCCTCTCTGCTCAGCCCCTGGGGTAGGGAAGGCAGAGTAGCTTTATCATGCCACACACTGGCACAGAGGCAATGCACTTAATTGTTACAGTGAGTAAAAACTGTTACAATAATCTTCTTGTCCAGAATAAGGGAAAAATCTATTCAATAGAGGTTTAATTTTACTTTATGACTAGGACAAGGATGAGACTGAAACAGTTAAACACACACAAGAATCAGAAATATACAATGATGGTGAAGTTCCTCAAAGTATGAGATCTGATGCATCTGATCAAGAGGAAGATGAGGAGAGTGAAGGTTGTCCGGTGTCTATAAGTAAGTGGTGTGTTTTTATTGTTTTGGTAGGTTGTTACTCAGTTTTTTACTGTAACTTCATGGAACTAATTTTATGACAATTTTTAATGATATACTCTTTGTGTGTGCTATAGATGCATAAGGTTAATAGGTCTTATCTCAGTTTTCTATTAACTCATATAGTTTCTCTTCTCTGTGCACCATTGTTTCCAGTACTACATTTTCTAGTATCTTGTCCAGTCTAGGTTTAAATGCCAAAAGCAGTGGAGCTTCCACTACTTAGAAGATCTATTCCATGGATTTGTGTCTTATAGGAATTCCCATCCCATCAAATCCATGGGCCATATAGTCTAGTAACCTGTGTCTCAGTGGCCAGCCAGCTTCAGAGGATGGGTCAAGAAACTCCAAATTAGGCAAATGTGGGATAAATCCCCTTCCTCGTCTCCAGTGAAGGCCTTGTCATGATCCCTCCTAGTTAGATTGTCTTAAACATAGAAGCATGTGGTTTACATCCCTTCTGATTTTTTTCTTACCATTAAGAACTATTTTTGTTATCCACATACATGTCCAATCACTTTTTGAATCTTGCCATGCTCTTAGTTTCTGTGATATCCTCTGACAATGAGTTCTACACTCTATTAATGCATCGTTTGAAGAAAGTATTTCCTTTAAATTTCAGTGAATGTTCATATGTTGAGATCCAGGGAAACGGAAAGTTTATAATCTACCTTCTCTGTACCATTTGTTTTATATATATTTATCATTTCCCTCTTTTTCCTCTCCTCCTTCCTAAGGCAGATAATTCCAGTCTTTTCAGTCTCTCGTCATATGAATCTTTTCAAGCCCTAATGGCTTTCATTCTCCTTTTATTATTCTGATTCTGTAGTTTAGCTCCAATTGCTATCCGTACATTTTTCCTGGGTATCTCACCTAAATGTTTTCTCTTCTCATTGCATTATTCCTAATTATGTCCCCTTGTTCCACCCTTGAATATCTCTGCTTCCATCATGGTTGCACTCTTCAAGTAGACTTACATTAAATAAAAGTACTTAGTTACATTACAGCACAGCAGTGGTGTTTGGTGGTACTTCCAGTCAGGTTTCTGTAGAGTATTTTCATTCCAGGAAAAGGTCTCACAAGAGAATTACAGGTCATAACCATTCTCACAGACAGTATAATTTATCATGTTTATATTGAGGTTCTAGGTATCTAATGTTGCCTTATCTCCTATTCCAGAATATGAAGAGAACTTAGTTAAACAAAGTCTGAATTTTATTTTTTTGAAATACTGATGACGAGTTTTAATGAAGAACCAGTATAACTTATATCAGTGACTAAGCTGTTTTGAAACTCTTGCATTGACTGACTTCAGGTTTGTCTAAAGCGGAAACACAAGCTCTAACTAATTATGGAAGTGGGGAAGATGAGAATGAAGATGAAGAAATAGAAGAGTTTGAAGAAGGACCTGTGGATGTCCAGACTTCACTGCAAGCCAGCAATGAAACTACAGCTGAAAATGATCAAAGACAGGTACTATCAGAGTTCTACAAACCTTAGTTAACCTAGTTGGTACTCAAAAAAATATTTTAATGAAGGGAAGTTATCTATGCATTGTATTCTTGAACTGCCAGTCCTTTCTTCTGTTATTTACTAGGGTTGCTTTAAAGAAATATTATACATGGATACCCTTTTTCCTGTCATACATTCTTCTTGAGTTCTTGTTGGTAAGGATATTTGCATGATCAGTTCTTGATCCTATGCTATTTAATGTTTTTATCAATGACCTGGAAGGAAACAAAAATCATTACTGATAAAGTTTGCAGATGGGACAAAGATTGGGGGAATGCTAAATAAAGGAAGAGGGAAGATCACTGATTGCTTGCTTGCTTGCTTACCAAGTAATCTATGTGTTTTAATATGGCCAAAATATAAAGTCATGCATTTGGGAGCAAAGAATGTAGGCCATACATAAAGAATGGGAGACTTTCCACCATGACTCCCAGGTCTTTTTCAGAATCACTGCTTCCCAGGTTAATCAGCTGAACATGAGCACCCAGTGTGACCCTGTGGTCAATAGGGGCTAATGCAATCCTTGGATATGTAACTCAGGCAATCTTGAGTACGAGTAGGGAGGCTATATTACTTCTATATTGGGCATTAGTGCAACCTCAGTGGAATACTTTGTCCAATTCTGCTGTGCACAGTTCAGTAAGGTAGTTGATAAATTAAAGATGATTCAGAGATGAGCTGTGACAGTGATAAATGAATTGGAAAACATGCCTTTTAGTGATAGACTCAAGGAGCTCAGTCTGTTTAATTTAATGAAGATAAGGCCAAGGGGTGACTTGATCACAGTCTATAAGTACCTATATGGGGAACAGAAATTTGATAAGAGGGCTCTTCAATATAAGAGACCAAGGTATAATAAGATCCAATGGTTAGCAGTTGAAGATGGACAAATTCAGACTGGAAATAATTTTTTAATAGTGAGGATAACTAACCATTAGAACATCTTATCAAGGGTTGTGGTGGATTCTCCATTATGGAAACTTTTAAATCAATATTGGATATTTTTCAAAAAGATATATGCTCTTGTTCAAACAGAAATTAATTATGGCCTGTGTTATATGCGGGAGGTCAGGCTAGATCGGTTGTATCTTCTGGCTTTACAATTAAGACTAGAATTTGGCGTGCCAATATTCAATATATTTTACAGCAGGTGTGCGTAAAAAACACAATATATCCATGACTGGGAGAGGGCAGGCAGCCTGTGGGGAGGAGGAAGGAGAGGAGGGAGGGTTTAGAGAGAGAGTGCACACTGCACTCGCCCCCCTCTCTCCCCCCCCGCAATGGTTCCTGTCCCATAGGACGGGGCCAGGTTCCCCACTTCAGGTGGTGTGACCTAGCCTGTGTGGTTGCACCGATACTCGGGTTTGGTGGATTCGCCCCTCCATAAGTGGAGACAGAGAGGTGGTCGCACCGAACATGAGTTGCATGGTGATCCCACTCAGTTTGGGTGCATCTCATGCTTTATTTAAATTCACGGTTTCCAGCTTTAATATTTCTGCTGTTCATTTCCCACCTTCAGTGAATAATGTTAGTTCAGTTTAGAATACCTACTTGCTCAGTAGCCATTTGTGATGTCCAACTATTGTTACTTTGTTAGGCTTTATCAAGTCATTACTACTTTCTTTCTCCCCCACCCTCCACCACCAAATTGGAAAGAGAAAATTTGAGAAGAGAGTTGACTTTGAATAGGATGATTTTTCAGAGAAGTTTGCAGGTCTCATACATTGTGAGCATTTAAAATTTCATATTCATCTAGTCCCATCACTTATCTTCATAGATTTTGAAGATCAGAAGTAGAACCGATACAGTCATCTAGTCTGACCTCCATAATACAGGCCATCAAAATTTACACAATGATTCCTGGCATCTGGCCCAACAACTTATGGTTGAATTAAAGAATATATTGTAGAGATATCCAGTCTGGATTTCAAGACACCAAGTGAGAGAAAATGTACCACAGCCTTCACTGTTAAAATATATATATCTTTTTAAATTTCCAGTTTGAATTTTGCTGGGTTAAAGTTCATGATTTCTTTATAACAGATACTTGGCTAGGGTAGTCTTCAGGTACAGTCTGGTTTTGTGCATCAGTTTAAAACCTTGCTCTCACATTGGCATTTTAAAAAGCAGCTTTGGTATGAGAGTGGTTTCCTTTCATAGGTCACGTGAACTGTCCCTACATATCCCAGTTACAATCTCTAGGTATTAAATATCCTCTATAAAAGCTGCTGTTCCAACACTTGTATTTTTATAACATCACCCCCCATGGTGATCTCTTTTCATTGTTTTTGAAACCAGATTTGACTCTTGAAATCTGCATTTAAAAAAAAAAAACACTCTTGCCCCCTTTCAAAATGCAAGATAACTGTTTGTAGATATGGACATGAATGTAATTTCAGTTTATACTGCAGGATTTGACAGAAAAACCTATTCTCATTGTAATATGATAGCTTACAGTAAAAGAAGTTTGGTCATATCCTTGCTACTCAATTTTCTAAAAGAAAACGGCAACTGTTTCCATCTTTTCTGTGGTAGCATTTATGGCAAGGACATAGACATATTAAGACAGGTATCAAAGACTTCTTGAAAGTCTAGATACATTGTCAGGTGATGGTTCTTTCTTCGTTCTTGTTGATAGGCCCTCTAAACTTGTAGTAGATAACTAAAACTTAGTTTGCCTTTGCAGAAGCCATTCCATCATCCCATGTACCAATACTTGCTTTATAATTCTATTCTAAATTTTTTCAATATAGTTTAACTGTACTGAAGTAAATTTAGTAGGCTGTAATTTCAAGGATCACTTCTAGAGCTTTTTTTTAAAGATAGGTACAACTACTGTCTACTCTCCAGCCTTCTAGTATGGTAGCAGATTTCAAAATAAAATTTCAGTATTTTATTAGCTGTTGAACCACTTCATTGTTCATACTCCTTCAAGAGTTTCTAATGATTTGGTTCTAGAGACTTGTTCCTTAATTTGCCAATGAGTGAAGGGTTAGAAGGACTGACCTATGAAGACCTTTTTAAAACATGTTCATTTTGCTAAAATGCCTAAGAGGTAGGCAAGTATAACTGCCTAAAAGTACTGAATGATATAAATGCTGATAGAGGAGATTTTCAGTTTGATGTATGGGTTTATGATGAGGACATCTTAACAGTGAGATCTTTTAATCTATGGAAGAGCAACTACCAAGTAAACAGTAGAACTTGCAGAGTATTTAAACTAATATAGACAAGTTGGTGGTGGTTATATTGTAAGCTACTAAACTCTCCCTAATGGAAGTTATCTTGTGTAAACATGATTTTTCCCATATAGATTCCAACAGATGAATCTGATAAACCAAATGAATATGAGACTTTATCAACTAAGCAGAAATCTCTTAGTGCTAAAGGTAAGATCTGAGTAAAACTTTAAATTATGTACATAACAAAAATAAAAAATCATACTATCACTTTCATGTAAATTTGCCTTCTACAAGAAGGAAGAAGTTGACATCTTGTAAGAATGTATTAGATTGTTTTACTTATCTTGCATGTGCTGAGATCTAATTGTATTAAACGAGAAAAAACAAGCATTTTAAAAGAGAAACCTCAATATAATTGAGTGTATATGATAGAGTTGCATTTTGACATTTGTCCATGTATAACTTTATGGACTGTTTCGATATCATGGTTCACACACACATTTAATTGAATATTCTTGTATCAAGAAAAAAAAACATGCTATTGAATAATAGCTGATGAGGATAATGCTTTAGTAAACTGGAACGTAAAGCTTGAATTTCATAATCAACAGATAATTGCTGCTGTCTACTTCTCACTCCCTGCCATTTTCATCCTTCATAGTCAATAAATATAAGGCTTTAAAAATATTTGATCATTCCTGTGTGAGAAATCTTATATTAGATGGGGACTAAATCAAATCCATATCTACTGGAGAAGTGATGGGAAAATGTGTCAAACCTCTTAACTGTTTCAAAAATAAATTGCCCTTCTGTTCTTGGCTACTTATTGGCAAAAGATGGCCAGTCTACCGCATGTCACGATGGTTGCGTCCTATCTCACCTAAGATTTATTTTTTATTACAGACAATTAGCAGTAGTCTGTGTTTTCTGCACTGACACATGCTCCTCTCATAGATTGACAGCTCTGTATCTCTGAATTCTGTAGTGCTTCAGCAGTCATGCAAAACATTAAGAAATCCTGCACATTGTACTGTTTAAAATTTTTATGTAAGAGCATACACAGACTAAAAAAAAAAAGCAGACAGTTATGTGCACTTCACACTGTACATTTGCCCTTTAAGTTCCCATCGGTCATAATAATAATTGTGCTTTAACTTCAACATTCATGTCAGATCCTTTCTACATGCACCAGTCTGTTCTAAAGTTGTACCCGCTACCGGGAATAGTGTCACACATCTCTCTCAATATCTTCAGTGTAGGGAAGAAAACTAACTTAATCACAATATGCTGATTCATCATAAAAAATACTAACCTTGCCCTCAAAAGATTGTATTTTACATTTTGTTTTGATATAAAGTTTGTGGATAATTTAAAAAGCTAATTTAAACATCAGAATTTTAAATTAACAAGCTTAACAAATCTGTGGTTTAACAACTGCAGATTGATTAACTTTCCAAAACACTGCTAAGGATTACTCTGTTTTAGTACCAAACAACTTAAAATGAGTGTATTTTTGCACTTTAGCAATTTACCAGTAAATAATTGCGCTAATTTCTAAACTTAAAATATTTCTGATTTTGATGTCACTGTTTATACACAGACAACATTTTAAAATGACCTACTGGAATAAATGAGGTTCTTGTAAATTATGGCTTTATAGTATCCCTTTTATACATTCTTTGAAATAACTTTTTTTTTGGGGGGGGGGGGGGAGGGGAGCCTGAAATATTGAACAACTTACTATGAACCTGATCTATAAACGGCAGATTTGTCAAGTTTTTTACCACGATTGATCTCTGTATTTACAAAATGACACTTGACTTTAAGGTTAGCCTATAAACTTCAGGAAGATATTTAATATGTGGTATCTGTAATTTGATATATTGGCTTTTAATTAGGTTCATTTTAGTTTGCAATGAGAGTTTACAAGGCTGTTGCCCTCTCAAATATTTCAGCAGAATTAATTTCTGTTCCGTTCATGTCAAAGACAAATTGACTAATGTCTGCTGGAAACTTGCTTTGGTTGTTCATTTGAAGGTTTTGTGGTTTTTTTAAATAAAATATTAAGAAGCCATTTACTTTGTCAAAATCTGTGTCTGGTTTAAAATGCTTTGTGTTTTTAGATGAACAAGATGTGCCTGCTATTTTGCCTCATTATCGCAATATGCTGGAGAATAAGCAACTTCTAACAGTCAGTGCACCTGAGTCTGTTACTGTTACCGAGGTGTCAGCAACAGAAGAGCCAAGCCCTTCCTTACTAGTAAATGAAATTCAGATATCCGAAACAATGTGCATAGAAACCAAATCCTTAACAGGAAGCCCAGAAAGCTCCATGGCTGGCAGCCCTGATACAGAGTCACCTGTGTTAGTGAATGAATATGTACGTATAGCTTGAGTTTCCATATTGTCTGTCTTGAATATAAAATTTGTCATTTCAAAGTTAAGCCTTCTTTCCAGACTCAATCAGTTTGTAGGTTAAATTGAGCATACAGGCACTTCTTTTATTTTTTATTTTTAGTTATATTTTAAGAGAGTTATCAGATATCTGTATTTAGAACAGAATCATGCACCTCTGTATTTTCTTCTTAAAATGTCATAAATTCTGTCATCAACAGGAAGCTGGGTCCGGAAACATAAGTCAAAAGTCTGATGAAGATGACTTTGTGAAAGTTGAAGACTTGCCCCTTAAACTCACAATATATTCAGAGGTATTTTGCTTGGAGGTTTTCTGTACTTAGAAGTGGCCATCACAGAAATGAGTCTTGTTTTTTAAATTGGGGAGGGAAGAAATAATATGACTCCGGAAACTAATTTGTTTTATCCACTCCCAAGGCAGATCTAATGAAGAAAATGGTGGCGGAGGCCCAGACTAACACTTTGTCTGATGCAATACTAGATGGTGATGGAATGCAAGGTGAAGAATTAGCTGGAGATTCTCAAACACTGAAAGAACCTGGTGAGAGATTCTTTAAATTCCTAACTCATGAATCTCCTCTTGGGAGAGTTAATCTTTATTAGGGTCTAAAACCTTCAGGATTATTGTTGAGTAAAGCAAGAAAACTCAATCTTCCGATTGTCAATGTATCAGTTTTCATTATGACATACTGGAAAATTTGTATTGACATAAATGTTCTTTTTTCTGCTGCTGCTTCCAGTAATTTTTATCCGTCAAGATATTCTTGACTGTGACTAAAGAAGCAATCCTTTTTCTAATTGAAGTTAAGGGTAAGGAAGGATCTGATATTGTAAGTTATAAATCAGCTATTCCTGGGAGAATTCTGCAACAAAAAATTAAATTCTACATATTTTATTTATCAAAATACTGCAATATAATCATGCTAGTTTCAATTATTTTGGTAATTTATTTAAACTACAATACAATGTTTGGAGAATGGGAGTGAGGAGCATTTGAGGAAATCCACCAAAACATTGCCTAATAGTAATGTAGCTAGGTTTGACCTTTTCTTTCTAGTTATTAGTCAACAAATATATGCAGCCATATGCTCAGTGTTACATCAGAGGCAACTGAAGAGCCAGTGAGAGCTGGGGAATCAGACTCACAATTTATATTGGCTACTGACCATCTCCCAAAAGTTCAGTAGCAAATAGTTCATGGAGGAAATTTTTTCAGTCCAAACATTTAGACCAGTTCTAATCATTTAAATATTTATAAGGCCATGCTGTCCTTTACACCACTCTGGCCATATAAAGGAGCCCTAAAAGTTTTACACCTGTTTTATGCTCCTGGGGAATTCACAAAGACACACCTACCTCCTCAGACACACCTTGAAGCCCTTCTCCTCCATGCCAAGCATGCTGCAGTAGTGAGCGAGAGGGACAGGGTCTCTCTCACTCACACACACACATGACGGCCCACCCCTTTCACACTCCCCTGGTGTTGATTTACATTTCTCTTGGCTGCTCCAGGTCCCCAAACCAACCTGTCTGTGCTGCTGGGGAACGCCCTGTAACTGCTCTTGTGGCTTTCCTTTGCTCTCCTATCAGAAATCACTTTTCTGCGGGGAAGCAAAGAAATCTGGAGGACATGAATTCTGCACCTGCATAGTGATGCAGAATTCCCCCAGGAGTAGCCTAGTAATGTTAAATACACTTTTGTTATGTGATTCAAAACTCCTTAATTCATAGGTGACTGGGTCAGATCTGTGCATAAAGTTTTAAAATCTGCATTGACTGCTGCAGTGAGGTGAGATGCAGGTGCTAAACTTTAGTTACACTTTGAATAGGGGAAAGAACAGGTGAAGGATGACAGGGAAAAAACCCAAGTGTAGTAGATTTAAAAAAAAAAAGGTCACCTAAGTCTGATGTAACCAGAAATCTCTTGATGGCATTTTTAGACCTGTAATTCAGATGCCTAAGAGGAATACTTAAAGAGCAAGGAAAGGAGATAGGGTTCAATCTGTTTTGTTCTAGATATGAAGATGCAAGTCACAAAAACAAAAGTGGTATTTTAAAAGCCTGGGTATACCTTGCTGATTGTGGGTCTTAATTATTTACAAACTGATATTTTCTGGTTTACATTCCAATTTCTATCAGAAAGTAATATGAAATATTTTGAAGTGTAAAAAATTACACTACAATAGACTGTTAGGCTAACTGACATACAAATTCATTCTTTTAATTCTGCCCTGAATTTAAAGAGACTTTTAAAAGTAACTTTTAAGGGAAAAAATAGGAATTAAAATTTGTCTTAAATCCAGTACTAAAACCTTTAATCTGTCGTAAACAAACTAAGGATATTGATTCAAGGGTGCTAGTACAATGGCAACAGTCACTGCCTGAAACAGTGACTGGTATTTCAACAGTTATAAAAGCTTGGTATTGGAACAAGACATGGTAATTTTCCTCCTAAATGTTAGATTCACATTTAGTGGCACTAAGGGCTGGTCTCCACACAAGTTGCACTTAATTGATTGGTTTCTAAACCAATCTAGTTAAATTGATGGATCTCACTTCTGTGGACACTTAGTGTGGGTTGAGTACCCTCTTTCAATTTTGCTTAAGTTGGTAACTGCATTAGGGTGCTTTTTATCTGAAATCAGAGTGCCCACATGATGGGTTGCACCTATTCAACTAACACAATGTGCAAACTGTGTATAGACCAACAATGAGGAGGGACTTGTTTTGTCAAGATGTTCTCAGCAATACAGTACTTTTAAACATATACCTGTTAAGATGTGTATCTGAGATTCAGTAATTGTTCCTGGACATTAATGAGTAAAATTTTTATTTTGCAGAAACTGCTGGAGCTCAAAGTGCATGAAAAAAAATTCCAGAAACTACTTCTTAGCCCCTCTCCACATATACCATTGCATATAGAAAATTGGCACAAACTTCACTGAATTTGAATCTGTATAAAAATGTAAATTAGTTTGACACACTACTGCCTTTAGGATAGATATGCTAACTTCTGCCCAGGGCAGTTTAAACAGCTGTAACTGAATCCTCTACTGCACTGTTCTTTTTCTGTCTTAATCTTTTTTATTCATTGTGATTTGTTTAGTAATTTTAAAATGTAGTTTTAAATAAAGGTTGGACTTGTCTGTACAGTCTTTGAGCCATTATTTTACAGTTTCTGGAGAAGTTCTGATGATGCTGTGTGAAGGCATCCAGCTCTCCTGCACAACATGAAGTGCTTTGTATTGAATGCTTATTTGTAGAGAGTACAGTATTCAAAGGGATGCTGTCAGTTTTCCTGGCCTAGGAAAACTAGTCCTATCAATCTATGTGGTGGGGGACTGTAGCTTTCAAAAACAAAAAAAAATTCCTTCACCTGCTACAGTACTATGTAGGTGTAGCTGTCCTGTTAATTGCCCAAGCAGATGATTGATGTCTGTAAGGAAAACAGGAGTGTTTGTCATCTTGGACTACGTTGCTAGTATGACGTAGGGCTGAGAGTCCCAGCTCACATATCAACCTAGTGTGAGTGTGTATAAGAGCTAGCAAGAGTATAAGTAGTATAGCTGTGGTGGCAGGGGCACCGGTATGACTTAGCTGTACTGAATACATGATCCCTGGATCCTGTGGGTATGTGCTAAGCTGTGCTGCTGCTGTCTGTGCTACTGCAGCTCCACTGCTAATTATACTCAAGCTAGCTCTCCTTGAGCTAGTGAGTGAGTATCGGTAGAGGAGCTGGGCATCATACCCCTAGCTTGTAGAGTAGATGTAGCCTTAGAGTAATATGAATGCTTACATTTAACTTAAATATGTCTGGTTGTGGGAGGCAGAATTCAGAGAAGTTAAGTAAATTAACTTTTTGGAGAGGAAGATAGGAAATAGTAATGATTTCTACATGTGACGGATGCTGGATTTTAAAAAAACTGACAATTTAAATGAGGGTGGGCCCAACATTGCTATAAACACTGCAAACAATTTAAATTGCTCTGAAAATGTACTTACCTACAATTGTCTGATACAGTAATTTGAGATGTTATGAGAGAAGTTTCTTTGATCTGCATTGTTCCCAAGGATGATCTCAAAGACTTGCCTATTGTCCCCTCCTCTCCTAAGGTAATACGATCCCCTATAAATCAGAAGTTAGAAACTATTAATGCAGTTCCTCAAACAAAACAAAAACCCACACACACCACAGGGCTCTAAGTTCAAGACGTGTAGCCTGTTCCTTGCCTCTGTACCCCAATTTTAACTGTGTAGTTGCTTCTTCCACATCCACCTGCTAGCCAATTAAAAACTAAATCTTTCCTTGTTCCAGCTCTGTCCAGTTCACTCACTTTTGAACTTTGGCATTTCTAGACTGTTTGAATTTTGTAACCTTAATGTAAACTGAATACACTTAACACTTCAGATATTAGCATACAGTCAAGATTTTAGAAACTAACACCATTACACATTCAGTAAGCAAGACTAACGTTTCTTAACTAACACTTATTTACAAAATGCCAATTTGAAACCTAGAGTTAACACTTGACAGTACAAATCAATATTTGAACTAAACAGATTTCCCTAGCTATCAACATAGCAATCTTTCAATTGCTAACTTCTTAGTTCAGGTATATTGAGCACTGTTATTTTTATTTAACCAAATCCTAAAAGTGAATATGCATGTTTAAGGTATCAACTCATTTAAAATTAATAGCAGTACATTAGGCAAACATAAAAATAGCTTGTATTTTATCACCATCAGGGCCTTTTGGTACCAACTATGAACTGTAACTTTTGAAATACCTGACTTAAATGTTTATTACCCTTTATCCTAATTATCTTATTTTGGCTGTTTCCCTACATGGTGCAGAAAGCATCCCTGACTTTGGGGCTCCAGTAATTGCATCTGTTGAGTAATTCCTTTCCTTATTGCTTGCTGATCATTACACAGTGGAAGTCATTCTCTCCAATTGGGGGAACAAGTTGTTCAGCAACTGTAATGCTACTTGAGTCCAGAACAGAGGAGTAATACAGACCCACTAATAACTGCTCAACTTTTGTACAATTTGGGGAGGGAGACAGGGAGAGACATGAACAGAGGGGGCAAAACTCTCTAATCTCTACGTAGATCAAACTGATAAGGATTGTTTGCTTTTTGCTATAAGCCAAAAAGACACCCCTAAGCTGTGTGGTACTCTTGAAGCCTGCAGATATGTGAACATATGGTTCAAACAAGGGGTTGGGAATCTGCCAGATGGTTATGCCACTTTAGCCATTGAACTAAAGATTGGTTGCAGTATTTATTGGTCAGAACAATCTTCCTTGCTGCAGTTACAGCAGCTAGAGTAGGAGAAATCACTACTGTTTCATAGTGATTAGTGCTTTAAGATGTTCTTTAGAATTTAAAAGTTCCTTGAACAAGGCATTCTCTGAATTTGCACACGTCAGCAGTGAACCACCAAGGGGAAGATGAATAGAAAGAGCTACATCCGCTGTTTCTTAAGCTGACTTAAGTCTGTCTGCTTTGGTAGACAGCAGAAGTTTTTCCTAAAGCACTACAGTCAGTGCTTGGGGTGTACATGTGAGTAGGCACTTGGCCCAAGGCCTCAGGCATCTTGTATGTCTGGACTTCCAACTTCAGCTGTTTAATAAAGAACTGAACAGACAAACTAGCTCTCAGAAAGAATGTCTCCAGGACTCACTTTCACATCAGTTACACTAAGGGCTCCTAACATTTCATTCTCCAAGGAAAATGATTTGAGGCCAAATGTTGTAGTATGTTCTCTGTGGGCTGATCCAGATATCACTTCTATATCTTTGCAGTCCCCCATTTTGATAAGTGTTCAGAACACTTGAAATGGCAAAAAGACCCCTGCCTTAGAGCTTTTGTAAGAGGTATCTTAGCTAGCAGATGTATCTATGGAGGAATAGAGCTGCTTCTGTGTTTTCCACCAAGCTAAAATAGTTCTCATGACAATGCCCCACTTCCTTTCCAACTGTAGTTCTAGTCCATAGATCCTGTGAACTCATCCTTCCCTCCTCTGCCTAATCATCCTATTATTAAAGTTGCATAACTTAGATTACATTTACATAATACCAGAAGGGAGTATAGTACTTTAAACAGGATTTCAGGAGAAAGTGGACTTAAGCCAGTGTTCTGGGGGCTTTATCATCAAAAATGATACAGGGGCAAAAAGGTACTCAAGAACTTTATATACCTATAAAAGGTAACTATTGCTTAGAGGAAATCAAATACTACATCAAAAAGGAATTGGCTAGGAACCCTTTAGGGACCAAAGGCATATTACAATACCTGCCACTACTGCTTGAAGCATAAACTAGTTCCAAAACAGAAGTAACATGGTAAATCTGTGTGTACTTACTTTCATAGAACAATGTAAGCTCTACCTCAGATTCACCATTGCAGCCTGAAGCTTCATGACTACAAAAAGCACAACATTGATTAAAAAACTAGAATTCTATTAAATGGGTTTAACTTAACTGATATGTCTTGAATTGTAGACTTCCACTTTTTAAAAGATGCCTTTTTATCCTTCACTGCTTCTTTTACATGGTGGTTAAGCCTCAGTGGCTCTTTTTTAGTTTTTACTGTGTTTCTTAATTTGGGGTATACATTTAAGTTAGGTCTCTATTATGGTGTCTTTAAAAAGCGCCCATGCAGCTTGCAGGGATTTCACTCTAGTCACTGTACCTTTTTATTTCTGTTTAACTAACCCCCTCATTTTTGCATAGTTCCCCTTTTTGAAATTAAATGCCACAGTGTTGGGTTGTTGAAATGTTCTTCCCACCACAGGGATGTTAAATGTTGTTATATTATGGTCACTATTTCCAAGCAGTCCTGTTATAATAGTTACCTCTTGGACCAGCTCCTGCGCTCCACTCAGGACTAAATCGAGAGTTGCCTCTCCCCCTTGTGGGTTCCTGGACCAGCTGCTCCGAGAAGCAGTCATTTAAAGTATCGAGAAATTGTCACCTCAGGATGAAATGCAGACATGTTCCCAGTCAACATGGGGATAACTGAAATCCCCCACTATTATTGAGTTCTTAATTTTGATAGCATTTCCATCATCACTATCACTGTCCTGGTCAGGTGGTAGATAAGAATATAACATTCGGGATCTATTAGAGCATGAAATTTCTATCCATAGAGATTCTATGGAACATGTAGATTCACTTAAGATTTTTACTTCATTTGATTCTACATTTTCTTTCACATAGTCCCCCTCCTCCCCCCCCGACCTGTTCTGTTCTTCCGATATATTTTGTACCCCGGAATAATTGTGTCCTATTGATTATCCTCACTCCACCAGGTTTCTGTGATGCTTATTATATCAATATCCTCCTTTATCACGAGGCACTCTAGTTCACCCATCTTATTATTTAGACTTTAGCTTTTGTGTACAAGCACTTTAAAAACTTGTCACTGTTTATTTGTCTGCCCTTTTCTGATGTGTCTAATTCTTTGGGAATGTTTCTCATCTGATCTGGCCCTCACATTATCCTCTTCCATCCTCTGCTCCTGACTATAACCTAGAGAATCTAAGAAGTCGCTGTCCGATCCACGTGCTCCTCTGCAACAGGCGGCTTCTCCCTCAACCCCCCCCCCCCCATCTCCTAGTTTAAAAACTGCATGTAAAATGTAAACATGTACATCTAGGAACCAACAACAGACCATAGAAACAGACTGGATAGGGGACTCTACTCTGGGAAGCTGACTCTGAAAAAGAGTTGGGGGGCATGGTGGATAATCAACTGAACATGAGCTCCCAGTGTGACACTGGTCAAAAGAACAAACTCTATCCTGGGATGCATAAAGAGGGGAATCTTCAGTAGAAGTTATTTTTTCTCTGTATCTGGCACTGGTGCAACCTCTGCTGGAATAGTATGGCCTGTTCTGGTGCTCACAATTCAAAAAAGGATGTTGATAAATTGAAAAGGGTTCAGAGAAGAAACTGCTAAAGGATTAGAAAACATGCCTTATGGTAGATTCAAAGAGCTCACTCTATTGAACTTAAAGAGAAGGCTAATGGGTGACTTGATTACAGTCTATAAATATTTACAGGGGAATAACTATTTAATAATGGGCTCTTCAGTCTAGCAGCCAAAGACTAACATGCTGCAGGGGTTGGAAGTTGAAGCTAGAGCACTTCAGACTGGAAATAAGAAATTAATAATAGGAGTAATTAATCATTGGAACAGTTTACCAGGGGTCATGGTGGAGTCTCCATCCCTGGCAATTTTTAAATCAGGTTGGATTTTTTTTCTAACATATGCTCTAGGAATTAGTGTGGGTAAATTCTCTGGCCTGTGTTGTACAGGAGGTCAGACTAGATGATTGCAATAGTCCCTTCTGGCCTCGGACTCTATGAATGAGGTAATTTCCTATGGAGGAACCCACCTCTTCTCTGGGACTTCGCTCACACTTTACCCTGAGGTTGTTTTTTTTTTTTTTAAATTTCTGATCCATCCCAAAAGGGATCAGTTAGAGAGCACTTAGTAATCTTTTTTTAGCTGTGTGGGGGTTTTTGGGGGAGGGGCGGGGAGAATAGACAGTTTTTTCTAATCCAGATAATTCTCTTTAAATTAGCCATCAAACTGTTATGACTGTTCATTGCTTTGATTTCAAGTATTAGTATTAACTCTAGAGAGAGAAATCTGGGTGCAGGGATTTGTTGCAGGGACATTCCTTTCTGATTGCTCTGCCTGTAATACTCCACCACAATAAGAGCATCCACTCCAGAAGAATCGTTGGACACGTTGGCGTGAAGGTTACAGTAGCGATGAGTTTAACGCACTTATCAAGAAACGGAAATTAATCTAACAACACCTTGGCAGGGAGATGGATTACATGGCCTGTTAAATCCTTTTAGGTTCTGACTGTCACTTGGTTTTAGGCATTTATTTTAGCACTCAGACAATTGTGTCCTGTTGAGATTTATTTATTGATCAGACAGGATGATTCCTGCTTCTAAAGTAATTAAAGCATTACATTTTGTTTTTTCATTACAATACTTAACATATTAAACAAAATTTAGGACTGTTTCACAAACAGGAACTATATGGAAACAATTTAAATTCTCTAGCTTGAAACCAACCAAGGTTATTTGCAACATCTTCACTTTGTTGCTTTGGAGAAGCAACACAAGTACAAATTAAATAGCAAGCTCTCCAAAGAGCACATTTAGACTATACCATCACCTTCACAAAAAATATCCTGAACTTTACATTTGTTTCACCCAGCAACAACTGTAGGTTAAGCTACAACAGGAATTTCATACAGCACTTCTAAAAAACTTACATGTGCAGTACAATTGCTTTTTAATTCATTCACTCAAAGACAGACTGGAACATTTCTTGTCCCACCTTGATGTAAACTTCTCTCTCTTCATCTGTCATAAGTGACACTAGCTCTGGATTGTCACTAACTTCACTGTACAAGTGGGCCTGTCCAGCAACCATTACTGTAGGATCCAGTGTTTCCTGTTCCTCTTGTTCCAAGTCACTCCCTGCTGCTTTAACTACCACAGGTTTTGCATGTTTGGCCTCCTCCTCTGATTCACTGGTGTCACTTTCTGACTCATGCAGTTTGTTTTTGGCAAGAGGAGGGGGATGCCCTGTGCCAGAGGAAGACTTAGATTCATGGATGAGAAGAGTCTTTATTACTTCATTATCAGTAACAACTTCCTTAACATAGTCATCAGTTTCTTTGGACATTTCTGTTCCCAAAAACAAAAGAGCACCAAATAAGCCATACGCAATTAACATGTAAATAAACCAGTAATTTTCCCCTTGAACAATCCTATTTAAGTTTGACAATTGCAATCAAAGGATAAGACATCTTTCACAAGCGAATGGAATGAATGTTTTCCTGTTCATTTATAAGCAGGGTATATGAAGTATATTAAAATGGGATGGAGAGATATGGACAGTAAATGCACCTCCAGCCCTCCTTTAAAATAGAGAGAGCGCCATCTCAGCTGTAGTTTTGATATCTGATTTTGAGCATACCTGTTTCAATGGTTTTCTAAACATGGCACCCTGGCTGCTTCTGTAATTCAGCACCAGATGTATCAGGAAATAAAATTAGATTTGTGTTTGAAATATAGCTTCTTATTTAAGTTATCTTAGAAGCATTGAGCCACTGAAGATATTTTTTTGTAGTTGCATCTAGCACTTTGTATGTTACTCCTCTACTGAAAAATTCTGAACAAGATCATTTTTGATTAAACTGACCTACTTTAATGGTTTGTTCTGTGGTTAATACTAGTTTCCTGCTTATCAGTAGATTTGCCCCCGAACCTTATGTACAGAATATTCCTTTAAACCTTCAGATTTTTGTTCATAAATCTAATCCAAACCTCATGTTCAGCTATTGGAGTCTGAGGCCAGCGTTTTCGTAAGTGATCAGTGAATAAGGTGTCTCTCAAACTTGGTGCCCAGAAAGGGCCCAATTTTCAAAAAGGAGTGCCCAGCACTTTTTGAAAGTTAGTACACTTTAAAGTGTCTCTAGGCTAGGTGAACATGCTGAATCACTACTAGCATTTGAAAAACCTTGTCCTGTGTAGATTTATATTTGTAAAGGCCAGAAGGAACTAGTATCAACTAATCTTATCTCCTATATATCAAAGGTCATACATTCTAGCTCAGACATTATCTTTTATATAGATACCAAACCTTGATTTAAAGGCTTCAAGGGATGAAAAAAATCCACCTCTTTCCTTGGCAAGATTTTCAAATGGTTAGTTACCCTCTTAATACACCTCATTTCCAGCTTGAATTTATCTAGCTTCAGCTTCCAGCCATGGAATCTTGTTAAGCTTTTGTCTGCTTGCTTAAAGAGCCCTCTACTAGCAGAAGTCTCCCAGGTAGGTACTTGTACAGATATAAATATCCCAAAGAAGCATTCAGTTTCCTGCTATTCCCAGATTTAGAAGAGCTTTACAAAGATTTGTTGTTACATAGAATACATCGTTCAAGAAGATATTTTAAAATAGAAGGCTACTAAAAGACTGGGATTTTTCAGAACTTGGTGCCTAAAGCAAGGTTCTTAAGTCTGTATTTAGGACTTACATGAGGACAGTTTTCAAAAGTGCTGAGCATCCACCAGCTACTAATGTGGTGGTGAGGAGATAATTAATTACAGTACATTCCTAACTCCATGGACATATCAAAACATGACCATACATTCAAATGTTAGGTTCTCAAACTTTGTCTTACCAGTATTGGAGTCAGTTGCATATGAAGATGCTCCTTGTACAGTACTTTGTGACATCCATATAGGATGTTCTTTAGTCACTTTTTCCTTCCCTTTCGTCTTTGGTTCAGAATCTTGGACATCAATGACCAAGTTTTGAACATACATATTACTGACAGATGAATTCTTGTTGGCCCATTTCTCAGGATGGCTACTGGAGTCTAGGATGCTTGAACATACCTTCTGTTCAAAGCTGAAGGAAAAAAGTTTAATTCTTGCTTGCAGGGTGTCACTCTCCCAAACCCTAGGGTATTTAAAAGCCCCCTCAGTCTCCTCCCCCCTGCCCAAAACACAACACCACCACCTCATCTCTCAAATCAAGGAAACTGACCAGATTAATTTCAGTTTGGCCAGCTACACTGTATTTTGAGATAAAAATAATCTCCTCCCCAATCCATGATTAATGTGTGTGGTTCTGAGCCCTTAATAGCTGCATACTCTTTTCTAGAACACATTTTTGGATCAAGTGTATTGTCAGGATTAATGTAATGGTTTCACAGTAGAGAGTAAAGAGAACAAGAGAAGCTAAAATTAGTATTGAGAGAAATATAACAAACTTAAGAAGAAAGAAACTCTCCCCAATGTGAAAAAAAAAAATCTTTGAGTTTGAGGGGTAAATACATACATTTAATAATTGGGAGTTTTTAGAGTGCCATATACTACAGATATGCCAAACTAACACAGGTCTGTATGTTAAGCAGTTCTGGAAAAGACAAAAACACAAACCACTCAGGCACAATACAAGACAAAGAGAGTAGAAAGAACAGTGAACCTATAATGTTGCACAGAAAAGGATTTTAGGTTTCTTTCTTTATTATTTTCTATGCATGGAACTTGGCACATATTAAGCAAGAACTTGTTTCAGTGCAGCATTAGAGAGACTCCATTCTAGACTTTGTGAAAGGATGACAAAGTTTAGAGGAGACAAAGGAGCTGTTGGGCAGGTGTGCAGAAAGATACAAATAGGGATGGAGACAGAACGCTGAAAGTGAGTAAGAAGTAAATAGCAGTAGTCAAGGAGGAAGTGTTAGGAAAGCCTGCCAACGAGTAGTTTTGGGGGGGCTGGAACTTTGGAAATGTAAAGAAAGAAGCAGTAAGATGTGCTTGAGGGCCTGGGAGTGCAGGAAAGGAGGCAGAGGAGAATCAAAAGTGACATCAAGGCCGTGAGCTCGGGTAATAGGAAGGATTAAGAAAAGAGGAGAGGACAGGGCTTAAGTGGGAAATTTAAAAAACAAAACAAAAATAGCCTGTCAGCTAGGCAGATCTGGGAGTCAAATAGTAATAGTATCAATGATGAGGAACAAATCAGTCATGGAACATAGATGGAAAAAAAGATGTAGAGGACCATGGGAATCCACACAAAGACTTCAGAAAGGTGTGTGTGTGTGCGTGGGGGGGGCGACAAAATTGAGGTGGGAATAACAACATATCATGTCAGAGGGAGTAGAGAGATCAGAAACATTGCCACGGGGGTGGGGGGAGTGGAAGAGGGCTTAACTTGATCAAGCAACAGTTATCGGGGACTTTCCTGAGAGTAATTTCTGTGAAGGAAAGTTGGAGAAAGCCACATGGCAAAAAGTTGAAGAGGGAAATATTAGAAACTATTTAGTGCAGAGTAGTAGGAACAGAGGCCGAAGGGGAGGAGGAGGAGGAGGGTTCTGTGAGAGTGAATCCAATGGCGTTTTAAAAAGAGAGGAAAACAAGGGCATGTTTGAATGTGGAAAGGAAATTGAGACAGATGGGTGACTGAAGGGGATTAAGGTTAGGAGTGGAAGGAGTCAGGAGCAAGAGAGCAGATAACTGGTTTGGAGATATAGGAGAAGGAAGAGATTGGCATGAAAAATAAGATGGAGGGAAAGAAGTGAAGGAGAGCCTAGCAAATTGTCAGTTCTAATTTTTTAAGTAGTTATCAGGATCTTAGGCAGATACAGAGAAGGAGTCGGCTGGTAGTTTTAAGGAAGGCACAGTGACGAAAAGCTGCCAAACGTTTATATGCACAGGAGTCAGAACTAAAATTATGTAAAAATAGGCCTTAGTGGCCTTTTGAAAGACAATTCATGATTCTAGTCAGCATGATTTCACCTCACCATCTTGGGCCACTTTCTGTCCTCCACTTACATGGGAAGAAAGCTTTACAAGTTTAGCTTAAATTATGCTCTGGAAGAAGTGAGCCAGAAAAGATTTGGTTTCCATAAGTTATAACTTGTATTGAGAAGAGATTTCTCTTCATACCTTTCTGATAGCTCTGGAATTTCCGTTGGCTGAGGCTCAAGCAAATCATGTGGTAGAACAACCTCTTCAGTTTCCCGCAGCAGTGCAAAGATGGGTTCAATCTGTTCATTAAATTTTGCTAGCAAGGTTCGAGCATCTCGTTTGGGAAGTGCAGAGGCATCCTCCTCAACTTCAGCATTGCAGTAGGTGCAGCGGAAAGTCTCTGCAACATCACCCCCATTTGAAATTTACAGATTAGTAAAAGATACAAAAATTTAGCAGTGAGCTTTGCCAAGGAATTTGCTCCTCCAATGAATAAGACTTTTGAAGAACAACTCAGTTCCATGCTACAACCGTTTATTGAAGGGACACAATCAACTTGAAATCTGTTAATTTCAAAACATTTTTGTTAAAAAGCAGTTGCTGATACTATTCCTGCCTCTGAATCCTGGGGAATAACGAGAGTTCTACAATCACATTTGCCTCTGATTATGACACACTTGTGTAAAAGATCCACACAAACAGACTACCAGAGGAAAGAGAAATTGTGCATTTGGCAACATCTTCTGTATAGTCAATTTCTTCTCTCTAATATCTTATACTTGTTCATTCATCTTAGATGTAACATGGAACAAGAGGTAAAATATTTTCTGGCAGATTTGATGTTTAAATTGACAGTGTCCTTTTAAACACAATGGTGCTATTTCTAGCTGAATCCAGCAGTGAAAACTAGTACCTCTACCTCAAGGAACCTGTTTGAAGCGTATAGTTCTACTCTGAAAAGCTACTCTGTAAAAGTGTCACCATCAGCTGCTTCCATATTTATTGTTTCAATGATTTACAGATCAAATTTGCTCAGTTTACAAGCCAAGGATTTTGCCAGCACACAGCCCTGCAAATTCCCTTTACAATATCAAAATCAAGCTTTGTTAATTCTTTCTGGTTCATTCATCCTTACCAGCTCCCCAGCTGTTTATAGTGTAGGTAGGTGTCAGATTGCCATTGCATCACACCTCCCCATGCCTTGTCCAGTGAATTTGAAATGCAACTTCTGGTTCAGTTGGCTTGAAGAGGAGGCAGAAACTCTTGAGTTCTTATGTCAGCTCAGCTCCTGACTTGCTATGTGGCTTTGGGAAGACCCTGAACCTCTATGTCTCAGTTGCCCTATCTGTAGAATGGGGATGCTTATACCTCCCACTCTGGTGTTAGGAGAATTAGTTAATGTTTTTTAAAATATAGTATTTCAAATTGTTTTATTAGTACTTTATGGCATCTTGCCTCAGGATCTTCATGCATTTATAATCATTAAATTAATTTAACCTCACAACACCCAGATGAAATGGACAACTTACTTGCATTTTAAAAGGTGAGGAAATTAAAGACATGTAAAACTTGGTTAAACTACTTGGCCAAAGTCAAACAGCAAGTCCATAGCAGAGCTGAGACTAATCTGAATCCCAGGGCTGCATCTTAGCTACAAGAATATCCTTCCTCTTCACCACAGCTCATTCTACAAGCCCAATTATTTCCTTGTACTTTTTTTAGGGCAACTGTCCAAAAACAAAACCCAACCAACCTGGTTCTATTACGAAACGTGCACAGGTGCAGACACATTTAATGCTGCCAACAATTTCCTGAAGGATGAGAGTGGATGAGCAGTCTAGCTGGCATACCTGTGAATATGTCAAACAGCTGATTTACTTCCAGGTCTGTGTAAGTGCTGAAGCAAGACGGACACTTGAAGGAGGACCTGGTAGTTGAATCCCGCTCATCTGCTTCTATCTTCCGGCGCACATGATCCAGTTTGTACTTCACCACATCCACCAGCACCTTGTAGTTGATGTAGTAGTAATTATGCCTTGTACTCTTCCCATTGGGCCCTGTTTCAACCCGCATGCGCAGCTTGACAAATTTATCTGCCTTGAGCGTGTTGAGGACAGTGCGCAACTGTTTGCGTTCATACTTGAGCAGTAGCAGCAAGTCATCCTCCTTCACACAGGGGTATCGGATCAACACATCAAGGACCAGTGAGTACTCTACCCCATAGAAGCCACGCACCATGTATTTGGCCAACCGTTTCAGTGCTGCTGGGACTTCCGTAATAACATCTTGATCTCCCATCAGTAACTAAACTGTGTCAGAAAGAGGAGTGTTAGTATATGTAACACCGACAGACCCCAGTTATCAGTGGGCAGGATCGAACCTGGGGCCTCTGGAGCTTAGTGCATGAGCCTCTACAGCATGAACTAAAAGCCATATGGCTATTAGCTAAGGCTGTAGAGCAAACTCAATATCTTTCTCTAAGTGTTCTCAGCACCACTAGATGGGACAGAGCACCACACGCAGGAGGCGTGTGTGTTACATATACAGCCTCATTATTAAGGCTGTATGCAATATTAAGTGTTTTGTGAACCTTTGGATAGCTCAGATTGGTTCTAAAGCAAGTCATCTGCAATGCTGCTCTTTCAATAGGAGTCTGAGTCTGTGTCTACATTCTGTGCAATCGTCATTAGGTTCTGATCAACCCCACCACATCTGGATATTAAAGCTTATTGAATGCTTTTGGGCCTAGCTGTGTATTAGTGAGTATCTATACAACAGATGCCCCCTGCTGGGTAAGAGAGAAGGTGTTAGAAAAACTCCACAAGCTTCCTCTGACAGAATTTTCCCTTGAGCTATCTCCTCTGAGGGTGGACATGGAGGTAGGATGACGACGGGATTTTGGTTTCTAAAGGTCACCCACCCCACCTTTAAGACTACTGTTTTCTTTCAGCTTGGCTTGTAGATTACACCAATTGGAATTCAGGTCTGAAGTGAACATTGCATGCCCTGTGCTGGAATTTACTGTGTACAAGGTTAGTGAGAAGTCTCTACAAGTGTCATATGATCTCTTACGGTTGCCAATTCTCCCAGTTTTGCCGTGAGTCTCCCAGAATTGGGCTTAATCTCCTGGAGAAAACTGAAGCCAATCCAGGAGATTTTAAACTGCTAAAAGTCTGAAAGCACAGCAGGGCTAAGGCAGGCTCCCTAACTGCCCTGGCTCTGCACCACTCCCGGGAGCAGCCGGCATGTCTGGTCCCTAGGCAAGGGGAGGAGGTGGGGTCTCTGCACACTGCCCCTGCCTGCAGATGCCACCCCTGCAGCTTCCATTGGCCACGGTTCCTGGCCAACGGAAGCTGCTGAATCAGCACTGGGGGCAGGGGCAGCACACAGAGCCACCTGCCTCCCCTCCACCTAGGGGCCGGACATGCTTCCAGGAGTGGCGTGGAGCAAGGGCAGACAGGGAGCCTGTTTAGCCCTGCTGCGCTGCTGACCGGGAGCCGCCTGAGGTAAGCACTGCCTGGCTGGAGCCTGCCCCCCCTCATCCCCTCCTGAACCCCAACCCTCTGCCCTGAGCCCCCTCCTGGAGCCAGTACCCCACACCCCATCCTGCACCACAACCCTCTGCCCCAGGTTAGAACCCCCTCCCATAGCTAAACTCTCTCCCAGAGCCTGCACCCCAATCCTCTGCCCCAGCCCATAGTCCCCCCCTGCACCCAAAGTCCCTCCCAGAGCCCACATCCCCTCCTGCATCCCAGCCTCCTTCCCCAGGCTCAGCCCAGAGACCCCCTCCCACACTCCAAACCCCTTAGCCCCAGCCCAGAGCCCACATCCCAACTCCTTGCCCCATCCCAAGGAAAGTGAGTGAGGGTTGGGGAGAGCAAATAAAGGAGGGAGGGGTGATGGAGCGAGCAGGGGCAGGGCCAAGGGTGTTTGTGTGATTAGACAGTTGGCAACCCTAGATATCTTGTATTAATTAATAAAATAGTTTAACATACCTCATGACACCATTCCAAGGGATAAACACAAGAGGGCAGCATTGAGATTGAACTATAAGACTTAATGTGGCATTTTCCATCTTCTAAATGCTTGACTGCTGTCCAGATTGCAATGGTCCCCAAGGGAAGGAATGTTCAGCAACCCAGAAGAGTCAGAACACAGAGGGGTTAGGCCTATTCCAGCCTTCCCCCAACATACCCGTGTAGACAGGGTGCAGCGTAAGACTGTTCCACTTGCCCATAGCTACCAAGAAATACTCCCTGTGACAGTGATGTTCCCTGGTGGGATGATCTGACTGGTTTCTAGCCCTTTGTGGGGCCTTTGTCACAAAATCAGTCCTGTTCGTTAGAATTTATCCTCATACTCTCTAATTCAGCTATTTTAACCATTAACGGTAATGATGGTTATCAGGGGAAAAGAAATCTGTTCCCTGGATATGTCCCAAAAGAAAACATCTTGATTCAGTATGTCCAGGCTGAGTAGTATCCTGTAACATTATACACAGCACTTTTTATCGAGAACACTCTCTAAAGTATATACATAAAGCACCACTGGAATAGAAGGCCATGTCCGCTGGGGTGGCGGACACCTGCCAACTGCAGCACAAGATGGGTGAGTGAGTGGGAGGATGTTCTGTGTAATGACACTGAGAAAGCCTCCTCTTGCAAGATGCATCATATACTCTCCAATGTCCACATTGAGCTCCAGTTTTTAAGGCTGGCCAGAATACTTCCCACAGCAAACTGCATGGAGCTAAGTCTATCTGTCTTGAAGATGTATAGCTGATCTAATCCTGTCTAGGTTTGAACTGGTGTCTAAATATCTCAAAGTTTTGTGCTTAGACCACTCTGCCACCCCTTCAGCATGGCTAGAAGACCCACTGCTGTTTCTCTTTCATTGTCTTTATAAATCAGATTCTCTTTCCACAGCAAATGCTTCTGCTAAACCTTCTCCTCTTCAAACCCCTTCTAGTAATTCTCATTTTACATATATTCTGATAACCTCCCTGTCTTAAAACTCTGTGAAAGGCAGCATAGTTAGGCTACTGACAGGCAGGGCCGCCCAGAGGGGGGGCAAGTGGGGCAATTTGCCCCAGGCCCCGGGCCCCACAGGGGCCCCCACGAGAATGTCGGAGGCTCCCCCCTCCCTCCGACTTCACCTTCCCCCATCCCCCGGCGCCTCAGTGCGCCGCTTCCAGGAGCGGCCCTGGACAGCGCGGCAGTGGCATGGCTCGGGCGGGGCCTGAGGTCCTCCCACTTGGAGCTGCGTGGTAAGGGGGTGGGGCTGCGAGCTCCAGCAGGCCGAGCGGCAGAAGCTCCTGGACGCGGCTCGCTGAGGCTCTGGGAGAGGGGGGTAAGCAGCATGGTAAGCCCCTCTGAGCCGGGCACCCCCCCAGCCCTGATCCCCAGCTCTGAGCCAAGCCCCTCTGAGCCAGGCACCCCCGACCCCATCCACCCCCAGCCGTGACCCCCAGCTCCAAGCCCAGCCCCTCTGAGCCAGATACCTCCCCAACCCCATCCACCCCCAGCCCTGACCCCCAGCTCCAAGCCCAGCCCCTCTGAGCCCGACACCCCCCGACCCCATCCCCCCCACAGCCCTGACCCCCAGCTTCGAGCCCAGCCCCTCTGAGCCGGGCACCCCCCAACCCAGAGCCCACCTCCCCACCCAGCCCTGGGCAACAGTAGCGCCACCCCCAGGCAGCGACAGCCCATTGGCACCAACCATCACCATCACCCAGCGACAGCCCATTATGTAATTGCAAATGTATACATACCATTAAAGCATTTAATGTTTTAAATAATGTGTTTCATGTATTTTCAAATTATTAAATGTTTAAATGTATTTCACTGGTTATTGTTTACATTTCC